TCTGCAGTTCCAGTTTCTGCAAGCTCTTTGGAATCTCCCTGACCTCTCGGGAAAGTTTCTGACCTCAGACTGAGGAATACATTTTTATGGGCAGCCCATGAGTGTTGATTATAAAAAAGAAACTGAGATGTCAACTGTATTTCAATTAAAAAAATAAACTGAGAAATCTTTGTAGAAAAAGAAAGAAAAACACAACAGAATATAAGTTATTTCTACAATGGTAGTCTGCACTAAAAATCAACTGTTTCAATGGAGTGAAGCCCTTTGAATAAAAAAAAGGAGCAAAAGGCACCCCTGTGCCTATCTGTTCTGAATGCTGGCTCTGTGAGCACCATAAGATGTTTCTTGCCATCAGAGCAATGACTTCAATTTTTCCATTCCAACTGTGGTGAAAATGAATAAGAAAACTGTATCCTGCCTCTGGAAGCAGGATACAGGCTCCACACTAATCAAAAAAGGAAGATTCATTATAAAACAATATTTTAATATCCAGGTTCTGAGTCATTTCATGGCCTGCCACAGGATTAGAATGGGGATATTGTACAAGCCCGACCCTTTGGAGGAAAGCTTTTTCCTAAAGGAGTTCCTCTTGCTGCTCTCTGATTCACAAATCCAAATCTCACAATTTCACCTCCTTCTCTTTTAATCATATTACCAGATAGCTATTTTTTAAAAAAGATTTTATTTATTCATGAGACAGACAGAGAGAGAGAGGCAGAGACACAGGCAGAGGGAGAAGCAGGCTCCATGCAGGGAGCCCGACGTGGGACTCGATCCCGGGTCTCCAGGATCAGGCCTGGGCTGAAGGCAGCACTAAACCATTGAGCCACCCGGGCTGCCCACCAGATAGCTATTTTAAGAGACATGGTGTGGGCTGCAGATAAAACAGGGGCCAGGGCTCATCTGAAAATGCATGAACTGAGAAGTGCCAATGAAATATTGGCACTGAAAACAGGCAAAAGGAGAGTAAAGTTTTTAGAAACCTGGTTAGTAGCAATAAAGACTTAAAAGGACTGTGCTCTACTTGCCAAACCAAGGTTAATTTAGCAATGGACTTGTGAACCAGTCCTGATGAGAGGCACTCTGGACTGAGCCCCTGAGTGACTTCCCCGGGTCTAAGAAGGGAGAATGGGCTTCCCTGTGTTGTACCCTTTGGCGAAGCCAGGTGAAATCTGCTCCACGGTGCTATCATCCATGAACATTCACAGACAAAAAAATGTTGACAACCACAGACCATGCTGCAATGGGATTCTGTTGGATACACTGCAAAGGAAAACCACCAGCAGCTGTCTGAAGCTGGGTTTCTTTTATTAACATTTGGTTAATAGAACCTTTGTCGTGAAACAAACCAGATGAAAAACCAGCCTTCGTTAGGAACGCCTGAGTGCAGGCTGGGACAGATTATGTTGTTGTGACCAAGTCAGGAGGTTTTTATCAGCTTGCACACTGTTCTGTGCCCAGCATGGACTTAGATGCTCTGGGATCATAGACTGGGAATTGGAAGCTGGGTACTGCCTTGTGGGAGCAGGATCGCTTTGCCTTCAGGGAGGTGTGTGTGTGGGGTACAGAATGACATTCAGGAAACTGGAAGAAAGCTTTGTGAGTGTAGGATTCATGCTCAGTTGTGTGGGACAAATATGAGCAGGTTCAAAAGGATAAAAGAATCCATGTCAGATGAGTCCCTTGAGAGCAAGAGCCCCAACTGGCTCATTTTAGTATCTTTAGCGTGTGAATTTGTCACACCAGGTAGGGGTTTAATTGGTAAATTTCAAATAAAGTTCAACTCTATACTCTTATTTGCCCATAATTTCAGTCCTACCCAATTTTATACCCGTCTCTTCCTACACACTTAGAATATATGCCTAAATAAAAGCACCTCAAAACCCCATTAAATGTTCCAAGCTGTCACACTCTCACACACATACTGTCACAAGCTCTCATTCTCACTTTTATTCTTTTCTCTTTTGATCTTGTGCTCACTTTTTCTCACCCCAGAAGTGTTTCCAGGAGTTGGAGAGAGAGAGTAGAGTAGCACCTAGCTTTTCTAAGCCTTCACCTTCACCTAGCAGCTCACAAAAGCACAATGGATAAAGAATAAGAAAACTAAAGGAAGAAGATGATGAGGGGGGAGAGAAGAGAAAGGAGAGAAAGAGAACCGGAAAAATCAAGTGATGTGAGTAGGGAGTTAATTGTAAATGATGATACTTTTACCCTAACAAGGAGAAGGAGGATGGCTCCCAGACTCTATAGCAGGGTGAGCGTCTTGCAGATCTAACTGCTTTGGCTTGCTGACTTGTGGAGAAGCAGAAAAAAGGAAGTCCACTCATATCTCCGTTCTGTCAAAAATTCCAGGGATTCATATTTCTTGAATAGTTTCCCATAAACTTAGGTTCTGAATAGGTCTTTGGGGGTCTTTTCCATTGAGACAATTCTTGTACAAAATGAAATGGGGAGTACTCTTTTGGGAAAAGTCTTGATTACATAGTGAATGCAGATGCCTTCTGTGGTAGTTAATTTTACATGTCAAGTTGATTGGGGCACGGTGCCCAGATATTTGGTCAAGCATTATTCTGGATGTTTCCGAAAGGGTGTTTTTGGATGAGACTTAACATTTAAATTGGAGACAAAGGAGGCAGGAATATACGATGAAAACAGAATTTCTTCAATAAATAGTGCTGGGAAAACGGACAACTACATGCAAAGGAATGAAACTGGACCACTTTCTAACACCATATATATATACATGCAGACACATACACATGCAACTTAAAATGGATTAAAGACCTAAATGTGATACCTGAAACCATAAAATACCTAGAAGAGAGTACAGGCAGTAATTTCTTTGACACTGGCAGTAGTGACATTTTTCTAGATATGATTTCTAAAAAGCAAAAATAAACTATTGGGACTATATCAAAATAAAAATCTTTTGGGGCACCTGTGTGGCTCAGTGGTTGAGCATCTGCCTTTGGCTCAGGTCATGATCCTGAGGTCCTTGGATCAAGTCCCACATCAGGGTCCCCGCAGGGAGCCTGCTTCTCCCTCTGCCTGTGTCTCCGCCCGTCTCTCTGTGTCTCTCATGAATAAATAAATAAAATATCTAAAAACAAACAACAACAAAAAACAAAATAAAAAACCTTTGCACAGCAAAGGAAACCATCAACAAGACAAAAAGGAAACTGTCAACAAGACAAACAAGGCAACCTATTGAATGGGAGAAGAGATTTGCAAATGATATATCCTCAAAGGAGTTAATATTAAAAACACATAAAGAACCTACACGACTCAATACCAAAAAACAATCACAGTAAAAAATGGGCTGCAAATAACATATCAGATAAAGGGTTAGTATCCAAACAACAGGTGTTGGCGAGGCTGTGGAGAAAGGGGAGCCCTCCTACACTGTTGGTGGGAATGAAGGCTGATGCAGCCACTCTGGAGAACAGTATGGAGGTTCCTCAAAAAGCTAAGAATAGAGCTACACTATGATCCAGCAGTTGCGTTACTAGATATTTACCCAAGGCTACAAAAGTACCGATTTGAAGGGGCGTGTGCACCTCAATGTCCATAGCAGCATTATTTACAATAGCCAAATTACGGAAAGAGCCCAAATGTCCATCAACTGATGAGTGGACAAAGAAGATGTCATGTATAAACACACACACACCGGAATATTACTCAGCCATCAAAAAGAATGAAATCTTGCCATTTGTGGTATGTGGACTATTACTCAGCCATAAAAAAAGAATGAGACCGTTCCATTTGCAACAATATAGATGGACCTTGAGGGTATTACGTGAAGTGAAGTAAGTCAGACTGAGAAAGATAAATACCATATGATTTCACTCATATGTGGAATCTAAAAAACACAAAACAGCGAACAAAGAGCAGAATCAGACCTATGAAAACAGAGAACAAACTGATGGTTGCCAGGGGAAGAGTGGTGGGTGGGTAGGCAAGATGTATGCAGGGGAGTGGGAGTCACAGGCTTCCAGTTGTGGACTGATTAAGTCACGGAAATAAAAGGCACAGCCTAGGGAACAGAGTCAATGACGCAGTGCTATTGGTGCTATGACGGATGGTAGCTTCCCTTGTGAGCACTGCATAACCTACGCTGTTGAGTCACCATGTTGCACACCTGAACCTGACATAAGTAACACTGTGTCAACTATACTGAAATAAAATTTTTAAATGATACTAATAGACAGTAAAGTTTAAATAGAACACATTTAATACTTTTTGTTTATTTTTAATATATTCATCTATTTGGTTTAATATAAAACAATATTTTCCCCCCAAATTTTTTTAGAAGATTTTTTATTTTTCAGTAATCTGTACACCCAACATGGGGCTTCAGCTTGGAACCCCTCGATCCACTCACCAAGCCAGCCAGGCGCACCCCCCCACCTCAAAATTTAGTTTCAAAAAATTGATAGACTGAGTAAAGCAGACTGCCTTTTATAATGTGAGTGGTTGCATCCAATCACTTAAAAGCCTGAAGAGAAAAAAAAGGCTGACCTCTCTTGAGCCAAAAGGCATTCTCCTGGACACAGACTTCAGGATTCATCTGCAACCACCCACGGTTCCTGGTTCCTCCAGTGGGCCATCTTTTGGCTTGAACTACAACTCCTTCGTGAACCTCCAGCCTGTTCAGCCTCCTGCATCAGATTTTGCACTTGCCAAGGGTGTGTGTGCACACATACACACTGTTTTTCTGGAGAACTGTGACAAATACAGCATTCTATATGCTGACAAACAAAACTGAGACACGGCAAAGGTGTTCATGCCTTTTTCCAATCAGCACCATAACCGAGAAGGTACTAGAAGGTGAGATCTGAGGTCAACGGTCTGGTGTAGCCGTGAGCTGTGTTCTTTCTTTGCCCTCTGCTTGGATAGTTCACCTAACTTGAGAAACAATTGCCCAGGAGACAAGAACAGTGCCAACCCCTAGTATAGTAATTTTCTATGACCACTGTAGCAAATTACCACACACTCAGTGCTTAAAACCACATAAATTTATTCTCTTACAGTTCTGAGGGTCAGAAGTCTCAAATCAAGATGTCAGCAAGACTTCTGGGGAGGATGTTTCTTGCTTTTTTTCAGCTTCTGGAGGCTGCTTACATTCTGTGTGTCACAGTGCCTTTCTTGCATCGCTCCAATCTCTTGCTTTCATTGCCATATTCCTGCTACTCTCTCCTGATTTCCTGCTTCTCTTATAAGGACTCACACAATCACATTGGGCCCACCCAGGTCATCCAGGATGCCATCCCCACACAATACCCTTAATTTAATCTCTCCTGCAAAGGCTCTTTTGACATCTAAGGTAACATTTACTGGTTCTGGGATTGGGCCATGGGTACCTTTGGGGTGGGAGGTAGTAAGGCCTTATTTGGCTTACCACACCTGGATACCAGAAGTCACAGGTTACAGATGGAAGGTGAGATAGGGGAGGGATTCTTATATTTCAGAGTTGGAACTTGAAATTTTGTCTTTTTGGGAAAATACTAAACTATTTGGTGAATGCAGGAAGTTGCAACAAAGAAATGCTTTCTTGGCTGCTAAAGATACAAATATGTATCGGTACTGTATTTTTCTTTAACAATAAAAATTCTTCTAGGGAATTTTTCACGGAGTAAAGCTTCCTCCATCTTAAAAAAGAAATATAAACATGCTTTTTAAAGTAAAGCATTCAGATCTGTGCACACAAATCTGTGGGGACTCTTCCCCTGGCAGCTTTACCAAGTACTTTGTTCAGTCTCCTTTATAGGGATTCAAACATTTTAAGATGAACCCTGAGAAGCCCTCTCAACACACAGAATTTAAGTATAATAAATACATGTCATCATTTGCATTCTAGAATATGTCATCCCAAGTTTGAGAATTGTTTTGTGCCCTTAAATGCTGAATACAACTTTTGAGAGAAGCAGTAACTTTCAGGGCTTCCCTCTTGGTTATATGAATAACTTCAGGGAGCTCTCTGGCCTTTCTTTTTGGTGTATTGTTGTATTGTGGGTGCTCAGGGCACTCCACGGTCTTTGCTTGGTATATTCTTAGCAGAGAAAACTTAGTTTTGAGTCCACAGAAAGGAGAGAACATTGAATAAATCAGTTTACAAAAATCATCCTGATTGCTCAATTCGATGCTCAACAATTGTTAGAAAGTATGTAATTTAGACCAGGTGATGAAGACTCATGGTCTGAGGTTAAGAGGATTCACCTAATCCCAGGGACCCCACCTTACTTTTGTCTAATGATGGTACTCTCTCCTAGGCATTCACCTACCATTAGGCACGAGGGCTTCAAATAAATACCAGAGACTTGTTTCAGAATTCAAGGATGATTTATCTTGCCCATTCCAAGGACATTTTACTATACATGACTATGCCTTCTCCTTCTCCCCTTTTTCCCTTACTCCCTCCTTAACTCTGAATTTCTCATTGTTTATTTATCTGGGATTGTACTTGGTCAGTCAATCCAGTTCCCCTTGATAAAATATCCTCGTCATTTTGAGCCTTGTCAGAAATCTTTGACTCTCTTAGTTATTTCATTGTCAATTTCTGCGTTTTCCGCTTCTTAAAACTTGACTTTAGTCCTGGATGAAGAGCATTTTCTTTTTTTTTAACATCAGGTGAATGGCCATCATGGAAAAGGAGGCCAACCATGTTACTGCTCCTGTCACTGTGTAGGCGAGACCTAAAAAAAGGCTGCTGCCTCCACTCCATGTCAAGGTGGAAAGAACAACTGATTTTTCTCCTTTGAACCTGGTTACCGGAAAATCTAAGATGAGAAGACCTGTTAAGGATCTATTTCAACACTTCTCAGCTCTACCATTGTACATCCTAAATATATTAGACCGAACCATATAAAATCGTTGTGTTTGTAGGTAAAAAAAAAATTGTTGAATGTTCAACTTCATATTGTCTAGTCTTTACCAAGTAGTATGTTGTATCTTGCTTGAATGAAATTAAGTAAAAATGAGCCTTTCCTCTATATAGTTGTAATCTATAAAAGAGATTCTGACGCAAATATATCGACTGACTTACAGAGAACTAAAAACTGGACAAATATATTTAATTTCCTTTGGCAGACCCAAGGAAATGAAGAGAATACAGATGCGCTTTACAGCAAACCTAAATTTTTGTTTACCAATCAGGAGACCTAGGGCAGGCTAATGTCCCTCATAGACTAAGGTTTGTATTTCTACCATAGAGAAACTTCTTCAAGTGTAGTGAAGAGAAGAAAAATAACAAGATCAATGGCAAAACATTTTTTGGTGGGAAAGCTAAAGGTGGTGCATTCATTTGGGTTTTGAAAAGGCAAACATCCCTCACTGCTGGAGACAGTATGTTTGAAGTGGGTTTGCTATCGTTAGCATTTTAATGATGTCATTTTGATTATGCATGTGGCCTGAGTTTTTTAAACATCTGGTGCTTTTGTAAACCAAACTAATAAACAAATAAAGACTTCTCGTAGCAACGGCACAGGACAGCAGCATTTCCCAGCAAAGCTCTTAAAAGGCCTCAAATCACTTGGCAACATGCGATTTAAAGGCACAAGGAAACTTCTTAGGAAATAAGTTCTCTCTCTTTTTTTTCCATCAAAATTCCTCACTGTCACCAGGTCCTTGGGTGCCATCTTGACCCACCTGCCTGTTCTCTTTTCCCTCCCTTCCATTAAGAAGGCCTTTTGCTCATACACAGAACATCTTTTTCCCTTTAGCAGCGGTGGGTGTTTGCTGCAGCTCAGATTTAGTTTTTCTCCTTGCACAGCAGTCAGGCCAGGAGGCAAGCTGGGTATCACTGCTACCAGGGCTCAGTTCGGGGAAGTGCAAGCATAGGACTGAAGCTCAGGATCTAGCTTCTGCCTGGAAGGTTTAGATTGACAGTCATCAGCCGTAAAATATGACTGTGAATGAAGTCACCCAAGGAGAGCCTGTCTCCAAGAGGAGAAACAGAATGTCTCCTTTGTTTGGAACATGGCCTCCCTTAAAGTCTCCCTCAACTCAAAACTTCCTGTCATGCATTGTGAGCAGTATATGATAGGTTTTTTTCTTCTTGTTTTATGATTGCGACTATAACTGATTTACTGATAAGGGAATCATGGACAAAGTTGGGATCGGAAGGTCTAATTTGGGAGACCACTGTCAAGCAACTTTTAATCACAAATTTTTGAGGGGCTTGCTGAAATCGTATTAAAAAGGTAATATTCTATGGTTTACTCTTTGATCTGTATGTATAATGCTGCATAAGAGAAACCAGTTTGTTGCTTTTGTTTTCATTTCTCCCTAAATTTCATTTTCAGTTCATTTTCATTTCTCCCTAAATGTGCTTAGGGAACTGAAGGCAGTTTCATTTCTCCCTAAATTTCACTTAAGGAGAAATCAAAATGAACGAACTGAAGGCAAACTGTACTCCTGATCATGAACAAAAAGGAGACAACAGCAGAAGCAGAAATGGTGTCACATCAGTGGGGACATCTCTGACTGAGGAATGTTCCCCTTCCATCAGAATCGAGATGTCTACACTCTAGGATAGAAAAGAAAAGATGGAGCAGAGAACCGGAGCACATGCAGTCACTGAGTTATTCCAAATTATTTCTCATTCAAGCTCCCTGAGAGGTAAAGAAACTAAGGAGGTAGATAGTTTTGTGTTAAGATCCTCTGGCCTGCTGGAGGTCCCATGAACAACCCTTAGTCAGTAGCCCTGAGACGCTACAGGAAGTGCTGATGCCTAATTGGGCTTATGCCTCAAAGTTATGTACAAGCCCTGGAAGTTTCTGCCTCAGGGAGAATTAGGATGACACTTTAAAATAAAGTCTGACAACGACAGTTAGTATAAATTGTGTGTAAATATATGATTTTTTAAGGACAGTATTTGGTGTCATTTTGAAGTTAAGTCTTTTTAAGTCAAGAGTTACATTTGTATTTTTGAATTAAGTGAAAAAATTCAGAATCTCACAATAAAGCATGTGTCTCCTAACTTGGACTTTAGGTCCATAACCAAGGCACCGACTCCTACTAGCTAGCTCTGTATCAGAGGGAGGAAAGAACACAGTGTCTTCGGAAAGAGCTTCTAGCGTGCCTCACGTGGGTTGGATGAACTGCACCTGGATCTTGAGTCCAGGGCTCCTTCGGTCTATACTTTCATTTAGAATAAAAGGTTCTACAGTGTCTTTCAGTTTTCATTATTTTTAGCACATATTCTAAATTTACTACTTATCAAGTTGTTCTCTCTTATTTCCATGGTCCTCCACCTCATCCCATCCTACAGAGCAGTCTTCTCTGTTACAGATCTCTAGGCCCACTGGTATTTAATCTTTTTTTTGGGGAAAAAATAGTCCTTCCTTATTTATCCACCCTACTTACCTGATACTGCAATTAACTGTTATTTCTAAAAAAAAAAAAAAAAAAGTACAAAGTTGATTATATAAAGTTGAGACAAACAGCTCTATGGTGACAAGTGACAATATTACCTATAAGAGAATTATATATTTCTTCTGTACATATACACACACACACACACACACACACACACACACACACATACACACACACCCAGACCAGATTGTAGACTAGAAAAGTACAAAACGAAATAATTCAAAAACAAATACCCAGATGGACACTGATTTTCCTTCATCCTCAGGAAGAAGAGTGGTATAAAAGGATACTATAGGTAATGTTGAAACTATAGTTACCAGCAGGCAAGCCTTCAATAAAGTACTGTATTCGATTGAGTCGACGGTACAGTTTTTTGAAAGTGGGAAAGGCGGCTGTCCGCATCCACACAATGAAGTCATCATTGAGGAAGCCATTGTTTCCTGGATCCTCTTCATCTAGTTCATAGACAGGCTTAGACCAGTATGGAGGCTTTGTGGTCCCTGTGGGAAGAAAATCATTGACATGGTTGAAATTTCTACACCCTTCAGTTTTCCTTAGAATAGAGAGAATGAAATAACTTGGCATTTTTTGAGGAAAGAGAAATAAAAATGAAGACTTTAAAAAACTGTGTGTAAGCTACCTACAAATGCAACCATTAAAAATAATGGATTATAAAAACTCTCAGGAAATGTGGGGGAAATAATGATGATTTGTCATAGAGTTAAAAAAGAAGAGAATATCAAATTATATGTATATTATGGGTCCAACTATATTAAATGCATATAAAGCATTGAAAAAGTAGAGCAAAATGATAATAGTGGTTGTATTCAGGGATAGCATCATAGAGACTGTATTTTCTTTAGCTTTACTAGTAATTTAAAGACAGGAAATTAAAACAAGATATGATCATTCCATCTAAAATTTGGGTAAGAGGTAAAGAAAAAAGTGACAATTAATGACGCAGTGGAAATAGAACTCCTGTACACAGCAAATAGATGTGTGGATCAATAATACCCCTGGCAATCTAGGAACATGCATCAAAAGCTTTAATATATTTCGCATATATTTTGGCTTGGAAATTCTACTTCTAGAAATGTATTCTAAGGAAATATTCATGTATGTGCATGAAGATTGTGTCAAATAGATACTCTTTTCAGCAATGTGCCTAAGAGCTCGAAGTTGGAAGTAAGGAAGAGGAACTGGTAAATGGGAGGAGGCAGAGAGCAAAGGTGTCATAAACCTAAAGCCAGGAGGCCTAGGAGGTTTGGGTATTGAAGGAATGCTAGAAGCACAGGGTGCAGGGCCAGGGCCAGGAAATGGGTCTGTTGAGAGTTTACTTTCATTCTCACACTTCCCACTTTAGCATGATGGGCTTGTCTGTCTCTCTTATTCGGCAGCAGACTCTTCAGTTTTGTGTCTTCCTACTTTTTTTTTCCACTGGCATTTAGTCTAGTGCCTGGCACATAGCAGGCTTTCAATAAATGCTTGCTAAAGGAATGAGTGATTCCAATTAAAGCTGACAGACGTTGATAATAAAAACCATACTGAATTTTAAAGAACTAGTCAATAAGAGAAAATTGTTTAGTGAGCTTTTTAGTTCTAGACAATTGGTGCTAGTATTTGTAGAATCCAAAATGCAAAGGAGAAAACCACCCTTTCTCAACTCGAATGACTGAACTATTTTCTTTTAAAATAAATCCAGTCTTATTTTCTAAGCATGGGCTCTGGTACTTGTAAAAGCAAGTGCTAAGTTTGGTTGGATTAATCTGTTAAAGTATGTTTGTACACTTAAATTTCCTCTGGAAAAATCCTTTGCTGAAGAAACTTCCTCCGCAAATATTGGGAACTCATATATTTCAGCCCTTCCCAAAACTTCAATCACTGTTGGTAAAAGAATTTTGATAAAAACTGAAATTGCCTTTGGTACCTCCACTGTGGACCTCACCCTCTCTCTATTTTAGTCAGAGCTCATGTCCCAAGACAACATGTCCTATAGGACATTGACAGTCTAATCACCTAGGGAGCTTGTAAAAAATGGAAGTTTAAGCATGCCTTTCCTACCAACTCCTGAACCTGCTTCATCCCAGGTCCAGAGAATATGAAAAGTGTGGTGTAAGAGGCACCAACTTTTTTCATTTTCCAAATTAGGTCACTTGCATTTATCCACTCATTCAACAATAAGCATTTCTTGATTGCTCACTATGTATCAAGCACCAGGGATATGAAACTTCCTAATTTCCTCAAGGAATTCACAGACTGAAGTGGGGATGACAAGTATTCAAATAGATAATTACATAATGTGGTTAACTCTTCAGGAAAGGTAATAACAAAGTGTAGCAGGAGATGACAGAAAGGACCCTTTGCCTAGTAGGCCAGAGGTTATGTGGCAAGACGAAACAATAGAATGTTGCCAAGTTCCTTTCAAAAACTAGGAATTCAATCATAGGTACAGTGACCATACATGCCAGTTTGTCTAAGTAGGCCCGGCTTATGTCTGTTGTCTGTTATCCCATCTGACTTAGCATTTATTCCAAACAAATAATGTACATATAATTTCATCCTTTCACCTTCCAGCCATGGTCTTAGCTAGTAGCATATAAAATACCCATGTGCAGTGAATGGAGTGCTTGCTCTAACATGTGATTAATGTAAGATAACCACGGATCCTTTCAATCAAAACATAACATACTCCTGTGACCCCTACCAGCTGTTTGACCACTCCAGCCAGTTAGGTCACAGCCCGTCTTGGCCTGTGAGATGCATGACACTGCCAGCCTACACATTGGTGGGATCAGTGGAAAATGTGGGAAATTATAGGTTATGTTATACATACGTGACATAGCGTAGGAAATAGATGTGAATGGTCTTGCTGAGAGTAGGTTTGAACTCTGTTGCAACTGTGGTTTTATAATTTATTATATAGTACAGATATATAACTATTTTATTGTTTGGTATCAGCTTTTATTAGCTAGTAAGTCCTTTTAGCTATAAAAAGCTGAAAAATGGAACATGTATATTTAATGTAAAGTTAAGAACAGTTTTTTGAGAAAGTTGATGAATGTTTCACTTGCAGTGTTGGTTGACATTTACCACACAACAAGGGAAACATGATTTCAGTGACCAAGTGAAAATTAAAAGACATAAATTTGCTGAAGAACAATAGAATGTACTTCAGAAGTTTGTGGTTATTTTTTAAAGAGTATATTCAAAGACAATGCTTTGCCTCAGGTAGCTATAGAAGGTCCACTTATATGTCATTATGTGAGCATGACTTTTCATCTAGGTCAAGTGAGCTTCCTTCTAGTTTTACTTCTTTATTAGATTTTTTTTTGTAATCAAAGAAAACCTTTAATGTGTTACCTCCATTAGTACAAAAAGAACTGTGTGTACAGTTAAATGAGGCCAGTTTTACATCAGTGTCTTCAAATGCTTCAAAATAGAAAATCAGTTAAATTAATTATAATAATGGTTTGATTTTTTTGGTTTGATTTTTCATAGAATCAAAGCAAAGCTTTTTGATATTCAATCTTGAAAGATAAAGCCTCTAACAGCATAATAAATATTACTATGAGTTCAGTTTAAAAATTCAAAAATCAAGTGTAGATTTTTGGTTTTATAGTGATAACATAAATACAAATTTGGTGGAGCACAACATCAGAATCAAGATAATGTTCTTAATAAACTGAGAAATTTACAGATCAATGTACTTAAACTTGGTTGTGGTACATACATAATTTATATCTAAACAAGCTATCATAATTTACTAATTAAAAGAGCTATAGTTGCACAAACTTAAATATTTTTGTATATTCACAGAGAAACTGAACTGTAAAAATTTTATAATAATATGGATGGAAAATAAAATAAATACTTTAGGATGGTAGTATGTGTGGTTTATCTTTGCTGTGTATCATCAACTAGAATTTTAGAAAGGTTTGAGCTTTTGAAGAACTATTTTGTATATCAAATGATGTATCCTACAATCATCCCAAACTTTTTTGGTAAATGAGCTCTCTAACTTTTGGTTGAATTTTATTCAAAATAGCTTACAAATTTTAAACAGTGTTCAAAGCATGGAATGCCAAAAAAACTTTAGCTTTTGATTTAGTGATTTGTAATTACTGAAAGCCAGTCTTGTAAACAAGAAGATATTAAAATTTACCCCTATGAAAACAAGGGAATAATTGAACATATTATATAATTAGTGTTCAAAATGTGGACAAATTTTATTTTTAAAATTTACAACTGTACTTTAGAATATTTCAATTTCGGTAAAAACTCTTTTGATGGAGCTCCTATTTTTAACTGGATAAAATTTTTTCTGTACCAAAATTAAATGATCTCAAGTTTTAAGATTGTGTAGCATCTAAATTTAGGAATACACTTAGAAGAATCAGAGATTGAAAAAAATGTAAAGTAAAATAACAGTGCCTATGAAAATGTTTACTATTGAAATACTAGCATATTTAATACAAAAAAATTGAAAATGTAAAACAGAAGAACGAATTAAAGGTGCCAACAGTGTCAATTTGATTAACCACAAAGTTCAGCTTCAAAAACCATTGCAGATAATTTGTGAAAAATCAAAAATATTTTAATAAAACATTTTTAAAAATAATAAAATAACATATCATTAGAAAAATACAGAGACATGAAGACAGATATGGCCAAGAAACTGATTAAAATATGTGACTATATATCCAGAATAATTATTCTGCTTATCTTTTAATGTTTAAATAATAAAGTAGGTTTTTTTTAGTTGGCTTAATATACACAGTTATGTAATTTTAATTTTTGAAAGAGTTGCATTTTAGAATAGTTTGTAATGGAATTATTTTACAGGTCCACCAATAGGGTAATGCCAATTTATTGATCAATAAATACAAATTTCAAATAAACACATAACTTTCGTTATTCTAGTGCTCCCATTCACTCTCAAAAGTGTACCGGTTTGGGCAATAAATTACATAGTCACCCTAATTATAGATGAAGCAACAAGTTTCTTTTTTTTTTAAATTTTTATTTATTTATGATAGTCACAGAGAGAGAGAGAGAGGCAGAGACATAGGCAGAGGGAGAAGGAGGCTCCATGCACTGGGAGCCCGATGTGGGATTCGATCCCAGGTCTCCAGGATTGCGCCCTGGGCCAAAGGCAGGCGCCAAACCGCTGCGCCACCCAGGGATCCCCAAGCAACAAGTTTCTTAAAACACTTCCTTTTTCCTGAGGTAAACTGAAAGGAACCAGAGCACCAATCATTTTATGTTTCTGAAGGATACGTGATGGAGGAGTCCACAGGTAGGGAAAGTCAGAGCAAAAATGGAGGTCAGCATGAAAGTAAAGAAGGAGGTAACATAAACATTTCCTCACACATAAAAATTAAACTATCTATAAAGAGAGAAGAATATTTAATTAATATATGGGTCTTACCTGCAAATGCACTAGAAAGATTAATGGAACTTGGATTCTGAAACTTGACATACTTATCTGTCCACCAGGTAATTTTACTTCTTAGCATTGGGACTTCAATGGGTATAGATGAATTAAGGTTGTATGAAAGAATAATAGTATCTGCAAGGAAATTAAAAATTGTGCTGAGATGCAAGCAAGCATTTTTGTCCACTTCAAAGTACAAAACCAGACACAGATGAAAAACAGGGTTTTAGCAGACTCTCAATATGCCTACATGCAATAGATGTTGGAATTCCAAGACTAGTCTTTTTCTTGCCAAGGCCCCAATTATTGGAAAATACTCTCAAGCTCCATTTAGCTCATGTTCCATAACTACCTCAAATCTCTGGTAAGGGAGAGCTTATTTGCAAATGAAATACCATAAGTCAGTGGATAATGTATACAAAAAAATTTTTTTTGAATTACTACTCAGTTGCAGAGGTAGTTTTCTGGACATTTAGGTTATTACATGCTTATGAAAAGTCACACCATAGAGACAGGAAAAGTCACCTACCATTGAATATGCTGTTGGCAATAGCACCACAAGGAGCTATAGGGGTCCCATCATGGGAGTTGCTAAATGGAGCACAGTTTCCAACATCCTGGATGCAAGATGATACAGTAAAAAGGAAATGCTGTGGTAAACTCTCTTAGAATGTTAAAAGTGAGAACACTGGCAATGTAAATCAACCCACACTAATTTATTGACGCATAACAAGATTACGGACTGCTACCTGCTTTTCCCAGACTTCTGGTTCACTTATACTAGGAAATTTTTGTGTTTTGGAAATTGTGCGTGCATGCGTGCGTGTGTGTGTGTGTGTGTGTGTGTGTGTGTACTCCCCCACCCCACCCCTTATTAACAACACATAACAGACCAAATATGCAGGAAGAAACTTACTTTGCGGGCTCTGCCAAATATCACACTAAGCATACGCTGGAATACATTTTTAAATCTTTTTTAATTGAAGTGTAATTCATACTCTGAAAACTATACAAATGGTGAGTTTATATACTTGATGACTTATCACAGGAAATCCATCCATCTAACTACCAGGATATATTTTTAAAATAGTAGTTGCTAAACAATCATTTGATTATCACTTTTATCCAATAATCTCAGTATAGAAAGTGTTTCCTTCTAGCTTTTTTTTTGCTAGCATGCTGAGTGTCATTTATTAAGAATAAAATTTTATTATCATAGGAGTGAAAGCGTATTTAATTAAACCAAAGGCTTTTAATCGATCAAGTAGGGCTCAATTTCTTTAAACTTGGCTAGAGCGAAGGCCTCAATTATAGGAAGGCTAATGGTAGCTATACCGGGAACTGGACTGAGACCAAACGCTCAAGGTTACTATTAAAATGATGCATGAAAGGATAACCATTTAATTGGACAAGATCCACATCTTGTTCTGAAGAGGGAAACCACTCCTCTCAATAGCAGATATACTGAATACCCAGTCCCTTCAATTTATTCAAGAATGAAAAGAGCGTTCCTTTCTTATAAAACTTAAGGTTTTTAGTTCATTTTCCCATACCCTCTTTTTAGACTTAAAGATCCACTTGTTTTTTTTTTAAGAGTATTATATGAAATTAAATAAAGCCTTACCTTTAAGTCTGTACCCAGCAGTTGGCTATTACTTCTGGATAGAATATATTGATAGAGATTCTGATAGAAACCATACAATTTGTAGTACATATAAACATTACCCTGTAAAAGAGAAAAGCAAGAATAAGGAGTAAGAAGAATTAACTGCAATATTAACAAACATGGACAGAATTTTTAAAAAGATTTTATTTATTTACTCATGACAAAGAGATAGAGAGAGAGAGAGAGAGAGAGAGAGAGAGAGAGAGAGAGAGAGAAGCAGGCCCCATGCAGGGAGCCCGACGTGGGACTCGATGCCGGGTCTCCAGAATCACACCCTGGGCTGAAGGCAGTGCTAAATCGCTGAGCCACCAAGGCTGCCCTGTACAGAATTTTTATGGTAAAAAGCACCACAGAAAAAACTGATGGGAACTGTAAATTTCTTTATGTCAAGCAGAAATCCAAGAAATTATTTTTAAAAATTAGTACTGGAATATCCTCACCTACAAAGAATTATTAAAATCACCAAATAACTTTTCAATGTTTTTTGTAAGGGCTACGGTGCTCCTGCCATGAAAAAAATTTAAAACCAGGTTTTGCATTCTCAATATATAAAATTGATGTTAGAAATAGTATTATTTCTTAGCAATACCAGAAAAAGTGCTTTGCCTAGGGCTTGTGGTAGGCATCAAAGTCATGATTTCAAACCAAATCCTTGAACACACTTGAAGTTGGAGCCACTGAGCATATTTGGGTGCATGTGAAAGGCATGAGATTAGCTCCCTGTGGTCTGGCTCCAGGGTTTTTTGTCTTTTTCATCCCTAGGATCCAGCATAGTATCTGGCACACTGCACTTGCTCAAGAAATGGTGAACCATTTGTTATGGATCAAAAAGAGGGAATAGAATAGTTCACGGATCTGAAAGAAAGGTGACTTTCACCTTAGCAAATAAGAAGCCTTGTTGCCATGAGAGATGGTCCTTTTCATGTGTGGTACCCTCTGAAGCTGTGTAATCATAGGCTACCATCACGTTTACCTTCATGGTGACGTACCAACGTTCTCTAGGCAGATTTGACACAGATTTTACTAACAGCACATATGATGCAAATGGAAATGCTCAATATGGCTCTTTATAATTAATATACTATCTCCAAAATGATGGAAGGTCGGCATCCAAAAATATGAAGGCCTCTATTAAGTGCTCCCCATATGTTAGGTGCCATATTCAGTGCTAGGAATACAAACGTATTCCTTTACAATCTGAGTCAATCGACTTTCTTATACTATGAAAACATGACACCTTGGAAAGTCTTATCTAGTTTTACCCCAAGGACATGTAAGAGGATGGGTATGGAAAATGTGAGCAGGTACTCAGGGTAAGCTAGAAATAAAGGTCATGGTAAGTGTGGCCATCTACAGAAAACAGCAAAGGCCGAAGAACTTAGTCGCCTATAAGAGGAGAGTGTGTGGGACATGGGAGGGGGAGATGTTGGGTCATGACAAGGAGACAGGTTACAACATCATAAACAGGAGAGCATGGGTGTGAAGACAAACCAGCCAGGCATAGCTGGAATGACTGATGACATGTCCTCAACCAATGAGGGAACCTCCACTGTTGACACATAACTAGAGAAAATATGAAACCCACAGAGTGGAATTCACCATACATTTTCTTGGAAACTAAAAAGAGAATTTTACTTACCCAAAGTGATACATTCACATAAATGACAAAATAAACAGGCAGAGAACACTCACCACACTAGGGACAGAAGCGTTTTAATAACTTTTTTTTCAGTGATTCCTTTGCCCAAGATTTAGCTTAACAAGGCCTCCCAGATCATCATCTTTTTTATTGGTCCTAGAGGCACAAGGCATTTTATGGCGTTTCTTCTCTTTAAATTCAGTGGCAGTCTGTGCAGGATTCCTAGTTTAAGGCAGTCTTGCATGAATTCATTCTCTAGCATGTGTAATGTGTGCTAACTGGTGAACCGAAGGCTCTGTGGTTGAACTAACTAGTTTGGTTGGATTTTTATGAGAAAGTCTTTGCCTGAAAGGAATGGTTAGCAGCTGGTAACATTTATTTGACTTAAAGGTTTCAAAGCACATAGACAGATGGAAACTGAACCCCTTTAAGATTTTATCTTCTGGACTTTTTTTTCAAAAATTTAAGTACTCTGAGCCTCCAAGAAATAATTGACTCTGCTGCACTTTGATTTTAGACTTTTGACTTCCATAATTGTGAGAGAATAGTTTTCTATTAAGCGTCCCCCCCACTTCTGGCCAGAATTAAACAACACTAACTTTTTTTTCAATTGAAGTATAATTGATACACAATGGTACATTAGCTTCAGGTGTCCATCGCAGTGATTTCACAAAGTCTATATATTATGCTGTGCTTCTCACAAGTATAGCCGCCATCTGTCACCATACAACACCATTGACTATATTCCCTATGATGTACCTTTCATCCTCATGGCTTATTCATTACATAACTGGAAGCCTGTATCTCTTCCCACTCTCCTTCACCTATTCTGGCCATGTCCCCACTCTCTCCCCTCTGGCCACCACCAGCTTGTTCTCTGTGTTTATGAGTCTGTTCCTGATTTTTAAGCAACACTAAGTTTTACTTTTGGGGAGCAGCACAGTGAGTTGCGGAAGACAGAAAAGGGCATAGCTGTGGAGAACTGGAGTTCTGACCTATAAGAACACATATATAAAACTTTCCTCATTGACTTTATGTAGCTATCCCTTATAATCCAAGAACAACTCAGTAATTTCCTTATAGTTTATATATCTGACTTGCTCACGTAATTGCTTAGCACTAGCCATAATCAATATGGATGTATTCAGAATATTATTAATGCCAACACCCTTTCATTTGGGATCAACAGAGAAGTAAGAAAGGGTCACATAAAATCAAAGCTTCCTAGAACATAAAGTCATACAACTTAGCATTTTATCTTTCCTCCATTCATTTAATCTTTCAACAAATATTTTCTGAGAATCTACCACATAAATATACTATGTTATGCACTGTGGAGAAGGGAAGATTCCTATTTTCTTCTTCTTCTTCTTCTTCTTCTTCTTCTTCTTCTTCTTCTTATTATTATTATTATTATTATTTATTCATGAGAGACACAGAGAGAGAGACAGAGACACAGGCAGAGGGAGAAGCAGGCTCCCTGCAGGGAGCCCGATATGGGACTCGATCCCAGGACTCCAGGATCATGCCCTGGGCTGAAGGCAGGCGCCAAACCACTGAGCCACCCAGGGATCCCCCAAGATTCATATGTTCATTCAGCAAACCTACAGTGTGCCAGGCATGATTATTGGTGCTTGGGATACAACACAGAGCTGGACAATAAGCAATACATAACATATCAATAAAGCCTACACTGACTCTGAGGTCAATCATAACAAGTTAACAAGGATCAGGGGCATCACAAGAGTGGGGTAAGTAGACAGGCTGGGGTATGCAACAGGACGGCCAGGGTAGGCCTTATTGAGGTGAGGGTTGAACCAACACCTGAAGTAGGGCAGTTAGCCAAGTGACTATCAGGTACAGGGGGCCAGCAAGAGAATGCCTCACTTGTTTAGTGAGTGAGGAGTCCAGCGTGGTGGGTGTGCGGCTAGGGGAAGAGAATGAAGGGATTAGGTCAAAGAGGAAATAAGAAGCCCAATCATGTAAAGCCTTGTAGAGACTTAGGCTTTTTCACTGAGTGGAAAGGGAGCCATGACAGGGATTATTTTTTTAAGTTTATTTATTTAGTTTTGAGTATCTCTATACCCAACATGGGGCTCAAACTCATGACCCTGAGATCAAGAGTTGCATGCTCTCCCAATTGAGCCAGCCAGTGCACTCAATGTGGGGATTTCTGAGTAAAGGAATAACATATGACTTAGGCTTTAAAAAGCTTACTCTGGGGGCACGTAGGTGGCACAGTCAGTTGAGCAGCTGATTCTCGGTTTTTGGCTCAGGTTGTGATCTCAGGGTCATGAGATTGAGCCCTGTGTTGGGCTCTGTGCTCAGCACAGGGTTGATTGAGACTCCTTCTCCCTCTGCCCCTCCCTTCTCAAATAAATCTTAAAAAAACCCCCACAAACCTCACTCTGGCTGTTATGTTGAGACATGAATATAAGCAGGGAGACTTGTTAGGAGGCTATTTCAGAAATCTCAGTGAGAGGTGAGTGGGTGGTAGCAGAAATGGGAGAAGTGGACAGACACTGGATATGTTTTGAAGGTGGACTCAACAGGATGGATTGGATGTGAGGGAATAAAAGGAGTTAGAAATGACTCTTAGGTTTTTGACCTGAGCACCAGAAGGATGGAGTTGTTTTCAACTGAGATTGAGAAGTCTTTGGATGGATTAGGTTTTTTTTGTTGTTTGGGGGAGGGCAGTGCAGTGGATAAGGGGAGAAGTGGAAACTAGAAATTCAGTATTGGAGATGCTGCGCCTCAGATATTTATTAGACACCTGCATAGGAAGGCAGCTGGAAATACAAGTGTGGATTTGGAAGAGACATTTGTGCTAGAGATATAAAATGGTGTTGGTAATAGAGGTAGATGACATTTCCAAAAAAGTGAATGCAGTTAGAGAGGAGAAGACTAGAATGCTGCCCATCTCAACATAAGGAGTTTGGGGAAAACAGGAAGAACAGCCAAAGGAACTGAGGAATGGCAACCAGGGGCTAGGAGGAAAACCTAGGGTAGTATCTTGAAAGTCAAGAGAAGAAAGTGTTCAAGGATGAGAGAATGGTCACCTACGTCCAATGAGCGACAAGGCACTAAGGACTGACTGCTGAATTTATCAACATGGAAGTCTTGGGCTTCCTTGCAATTTCACTGAGTGGGCATCTTTCTGATTGGAGAGAGAATGAGAAAGGAGGACTTAGAAGTAGCCAAGATAGACAACTCTCTTGAGTTTTCCTGCTAATGGGAGGTAAGAAATGGGCAAATAGCTAGCAGGGAGATGGGGAGACTAGAAGGCCAGTTTGCTTGTTTGACGATAAGGGAAATTGTCCGTATGCTGGGAAAGATTGAGTAGAAAGAAAAGCTAATGATATTGGAGAGGACAGAACTGCTGAGTTAAGTCCTTATAAAGGCAAGAAAAGATGGCATCTATGTACCAGTGGGGATAAGCCTTCAGATAGGAGCAGGGACAGTTTACTTATGGTTAAGGAGGGGGTGGTGCTGAGCATGTAGTGCAGATACTTGGGAGAAGGTAGTTGTGTAACATGCAAAGCAAGGTTCCTGTGCTCCAGGAGGTTCCTATAAGTAGAGGAAATGAGTCCACAGGATTTTAGGACAGAAGTGATTATAGTAAGGTAATCAGAAGAATGGAAACAGTGCTCCCAGGATACCAATGTGGACAAACCGTTGCTGAGACAAAAAAAGGAGGCGCAAGGAATGCTGAGGGATGTTAGGGGTTTAAAACAAGTAGCAGTGAGTGGGGAGACTTCCAGAAACATAGAAAGTTGTATTGTGGGAAAGCAAATTGGTCAGTTGGCAGGCGTCCAAGGTCTCCTTCTTCCTCCATCTTTTTATGAAAAGGTAGCTGGGCCTCAGGTGGTTAAAGAGTAACCCGAGAGTGCTCTTTTGGGGGCAGGGAGGGTGGTGAATTTATTTTGCAAATAACGGCTGGCTTTTTTTTTTTTAATTTTCATTTAAAAATTTTATTTATTTATGATAGTCACACACACACAGAGAGAGAGAGAGGCAGAGACACAGGCAGAGGGAGAAGCAGGCTCCATGCACTGGAAGCCCGACGTGGGACTCGATCCCGGGTCTCCAGGATGGTGCCCTGGGCCAAAGGCAGGCGCTAAACCGCTGCGCCACCCAGGGATCCCCGGCTGGTTTAAAGTAGGGGAAGCCAAAGGCTAGGAGTGCAGTTAGGTAGCTCTGATACTGGATCAGGAGGCCTGAACTGAGGCAGTGCCAAAAAAAAAAAAAAAAAAAAAAAAAAAGAAGAAGAAGAAGGGGACAGGAGGCACCTGGGTGGCTCAGTGGTTGAGTGTCTGCCTTTGATTCAGGTTGTGATCCTAGGGTCCTGGGACTGAGTCCCACATTGGGCTCCCCGAGGAGCCTGCCTCTCCCTCTGCCTATGTCTCTGCCTCTCTCTCTCTGTGTCTATCATGAATAAATAAATAAAATCTTTAAAAAAATGAAGGGGACAGGGTGGTTGGAGAGATGGATTGAAGAACAGTGTCTACAGATGAGAGGCTTAGATGAAAAAGAAATAGGCAGGGTAAAGTCAAAGAGGAAAGTCTGGAGTCTTGGTGAAGGGCTCTTTACCAGAAAGGGCAGTGAGGAGGGTTTTCCAGAAGATGATGATGAGTCTGGTTTGGGAGCAGCTGAGTTTGAGGGCCTCGAATTGGGAGACTCCAGGGGGAAGCTCAAGAGGAGGCCTGCTGATGCTTAGATTCATCCCATGCGGAGTCATCTACAACGGGAAGGGAGGGGGACCAACCAGGTCAGGGAGGAGGATACTGCAGGGGGAGAGGTGTGGAGTCCAGAGGACAGCTCAGGATCTTTGAGGAGTCGAAGGGAATACAGTTTTTTATTTATTTGATTAAGTCTTGACTACCAGGTAAGACTGTGGAGGCCCTGAAAAGATGCCTCTGAGGTCTCCTAGTACAGTGACGGTAATTGAGGGATGACCCCAGCTGTCATGCTCTGAAATCATCCTGTGTTTGCACCAAGGCCATGCTGCCCCTGGCTGTTTCCAATGGCCAAGCACAGCAGGGATACTGAGGCAGGCTCCTTCAGGGACTCTCTGTTCTTTGCTGCAATTTTCTGAAGAATGCACTGCAGCCTAAGACCCTTCTTCCTAACTTCCTCCCTTCCTTCTCCCCTTCCCTTTTCTTCACAGGGGTCAGGGCTGTGTTGTAGTCTGACAGCTCTCCCAGCCTCCTCTGGCTCTCTCTCCATTTTCCCTCACAGGAAGTTCCCCCAATAAATCTCTTGCACGTCTAATCTTGTCTTGGCATCTGCTTCTCAGAGGACCTGGACTAACACGAGACTTTAATCAGCCCAAGAGCAGGGACTTCTTTTAATATTTCTTTGGCATTTCTCACAGTGCCTGACAGCCAGGCCAAGAGTTGCCTTAGGGATTAGGCAATTGCAAACACAGAGTGACTTGGGGGATAGAGGTGGGACGGGAGGATGGGGGGACCTAAGGAGAGTCCCAGCAGGTGTGTGACCCCCGACACTAACTTTGTCCGAGTCACTTAACCTCTCAGCCCATTAATTTTCTCACTATAAAATGAGTGGTTAGATTCAATGATCTCTATGGTCTCTTCTGCTGCTGACATTTGGAATAAAACCTCTCTGATTGATATTAAGAATTATGTTACAAAGCTCAGTAGGTAGAGAGTCTGGAAACTTAGAAACAAAGAAGAATAACATTCCAAAGGAAAAAAGTAGGGGGAGAGTCGTGCATGAACCCAACACTTTGTAAGGTCCCTCACCAGTATTCTGCTTTATTTTTTGTATTTTCAGTTCTGGAAAGCACTTGGTGGAAATCATGAACTTACTGCCAAGTGTGAAATAGGAGTAGATCAGTGTACAGCTAACGGAAGGCTCTTGAATTTCACTTACCTTCATTGTCTCTGAAAGGTAAAAGGGGATAGAGCAGGTGCATTCTTTGTCAAAATTAGTGGCATCTTCTCGGAGTTCTGCACAATTTGCACAGATTTTTGTGTATTTGACCTATTAGGCAGGGAAAAGAACAATGACTAATTAAAAATTACATGAGTACACATTTTAAAAATCAAGCCCTGAGTCCATTAAGCTCTCTGTGTCAAGGGCATGAACTCTTTTTTTTTTTTTTTTTTACGATAGTCACACACAGAGAGAGAGAGAGGCAGAGACACAGGCAGAGGGAGAAGCAGGCTCCATGCACGGGGAGCCTGACGTGGGATTTGATCCCGGGTCTCCAGGATCGCGCCCTGGGCCAAAGGCAGGCGCCAAACCGCTGTGCCACCCAGGGATCCCAAGGGCATGAACTCTTGGACATGACTGAAGGATAGCACGCTGCTGGGGACAAAGTGTTTCTGCAGATGCTTGGGAGGAATGGGCCTTTTTACAGTCTCTCATTTTGGGACCTGGCAGTATTTTGCCACTGACCTGGAATTCAGTGTTTCTATTGTATGTTTATGTAACCTGTTGTGATGTAGGCTTATGTCTAGATCATAAAGAGGTGTCATTAGGAAAGTATTAGTCAGTGACTCATGAGAACTGGGCCTACAGCCTGAAGCTAATCAGCTTTATGATGAAGTCACTTCAGTTTTTCCATTCTATTGTATGGAAAGTATTTATACTAATCAATTTTTCTACATGACATCTAGAGGAAGTTACTAAAAAGGACCAAACACAAAGAAGTACTTCCAAAATGTAGGGCTATTGATACTTGTGGAATAATTCGGATTTTAAAATGTTACCATATTCTGCTTTTTCAAAGTTAAATTCTGTACAAAATGGTATAGTGGACTCTTTACAAAAGGGTGGTGTGTTTCAAATGAGCAAATCCTATGAGCTCTGGCTAAGAGCCTCAGCTGTGTAAAGATATAGCTGGAAGAAGCTTAACCGAGGAAGGCTCACAGAGAGACCACAGAGGCTGTGCATTTCCCTTCTGCTCTTCCTTCACTGTGTTGAAGAATAATTAGATGATGGGAATGGGGAAGAGTGAGGAAGCAAGGGAGTGTCCTTCTACTTGGTAAACTGCCAACAGGATTTAGGATTCTTTGGGAGGGAAGACTAACAAGAAAGACAGGATTTTTTTAAATCTTTGCAAACCACTGGGAGTTTTGAAGCCAAATAAGCAGTGTTAGTACTAAATTAAAGATTAGCCAAAAAGTCTACTCAATTGTACTGAGATGCTTATATTTCCTTAAATAACTCTTTATTGTATGTATGTACGTATGTATGTATGTATGTACGAAGTCATTCTTTAAATACACACCAAGGCTTGAAATGTTAATTTGGACAAGACTGATGCCCTTTCTATCTGTGAAACTGGATTCTAATTTTTAAAGAGCTTTAAAGAAGAGGGCTGTATCATCACTGACAGCACACTGAACTGTAACTGAGGAACAGGTTTGGGTACAGCCAGTCTATGACCCTGTGTTAAATACTTAACTTCCAGAGCTCACATTTTGTTCATCAGCATCATTTTGTCTAGCAATTAATTCATCTTTGAGCTTGTTGTAGTAGCATTCATTGTATCCCATGGATTCCTGTTGGGGTTCTCTTAATGCATAATTAGAAAAAAAATGTGTTCCATGGTCAAATGCTTTCTAGCTCTAAAAAGTTTATGGGGTCGCCAAACTACAGAAGCAGCCCAGGTGTCCACAGACTGATGAATGGATAAAGAAGAGGCGATACATATATATACACGAATAAATACAATGGAATGTTACTCAGCCATCAAAAAGAATGAAATCTTGCCACTTACAATAACATGGATGGAACTAGAGCATATTTTTGTAGGATTTTATTTATGTTTGTTTATTTAGAGTGTGAGTGGGAGGAGGGGCAGTGGAGGATGGGGAGAGGATCTCAAGAAGATGCCACTGAGCTTGGAGCCTGACTCAGGACTCGATCTCACGACCCTGAGATTATGACCTGAGCGGAAATTAAGAGTCAGACGCTTAACTGACTGAGCCATTCAGGTGCCCCTGAAGCTAGAGGGTATTATGCTAAGTGAACTAAGTCAGTCAGAGAAAGACAAATACCATATGATTTCACTCATAATGGAATTTAAGAAAGAAAACAAATGTGCCAGGACGCCTGAGTGGCTCAGTGGTAGAGTATCTGCCTTCAGTTCAGGGTATGATCCCAGGGTCTTGGGATAGAGTCCTGCATCAGGCTTCCCGCAGGGAGCCTCTGCCTATGTCTCTGCTTCTTTCTCTCTGTGTCTCTCATGAATAAATAAAATCTTAAAAAAAAAAAGAGAACAAGTGTGCAAAGTAAAAAAAGAGAGAGAGAGAGAGAGAGAGAGAGAGAGAGAGAGAGAGAAACAAAGACACAGACTCTTAACTATAGAGAACGAACTAGTGGTTACCAGAGGGAAGGAAAGTAGGGGGATGGGTAAAATAGGTGATTGAAGAGTACATTTACCATGATGGAAAAATAATAATAAAACAAATTTTTACAAGGAAAACACATCTCTGATCTACTGTCTCAGGTGGCCTTGTAAACCTATAGTTCTAAAATGACAGCAAAGATCACAGTCTGCTTGTTCCTCATAGAATTTCGGAGAAGTGGGAATGATCATTCTTGTTCCAAGTGAACTGGAAAAAGGTCACTTCCTTGTTGTGGCCCAGGGCTAAGTGAGAAGAGGAAAGCCACTCAGAACTCTTTTACTAGGTCTGTGCTTGATCACACCGGCTTGAGTAGGCACTTCATCTTATCACCTAATATAATGAAAAAAGTCCACGTGCAAAAGAGAATCTCACTGTTATAGTGGTTTCTGGTTTTCCTGTATGAAAGCAAAATGTTAGGAATGGTCCTGTCTGAAGTGACCAGAAAAAGTAGTCTATTGGAAAAATCTTAACATGATAAAAATCATTCTGTTCAAAGCTGTTTGTAGAGTGGCCTTAGTGGACCATGGAGTAAGATTCCCTTCACAAGCATGAAGTAACATTATTTGGCAATGGTTGCCATCTTAATGGAGGCTGCACTTTACAGTGGGTGAGGCGATAACCAGAAGGAAAGAGGCAAGAAGGACATGGGAAGGGGGGAAAGAAACCAGAAAGAAAGGGTTTGGTGAAGAAGAGAATAGAAAAGTAAATAGGATGAACTGCTTGTAGAAATGAGCACCAACCTCATAAGCCACTTAATTTTGCTAATGCTCTTCAAAAGGCAAGTTTAATTTTCTCTTGCCATTTTGCATTTGCCACTTGGTGGGGCCTGGTGGTTTACATCTCACACTGGAGGACTCAAAAGGACTTAGGGGCATTTAATTTCCGGGGAGATAAACTGCTGGGAGTTGGGAGCAGAAAATATAAAATGGAAAGCCATTTGAGTAGTGTGGTTTGGTAGGAGGAGTGAGACCTGAAATGGTGTTTTCCTCTTTATTTTATTTACGTATTTTAAAAAATATTTTATTTATTTACTCATGAGAGACACACAGAGAGAGAGAGGCAGAGACATAGGCAGAGGGAGAAGCAGGCTCCCTGTAGGGAGACTGATGTGGGACTCAATCCCAGGACTCTGGGGTCATGACCTGAGCCAAAGGCAGATGCTCAACCACTGAGTCACCCAAGTGTCCCTGTGTTTTCCTCTTTAAAGTCCTCACTATTTGCCCTAACCCATTCTTTCAATAAGTTTGTGCCTATTATGTACTGGGCAATGTGCAAGGAAGGGTTGCGGATGTGGTGAACAAGGCAACCACGGCCGAGCTCTGTTTGTACCACACACTACACCTCACCTATCCTATCATTAGGTCATTGAGGGCAGGACTCAACTCTTACTTACCTTATTCATTTGCAAGCCCAAAACAACTCTTAGCACTTTCAGACACTCATGGATGTTAAGTCAGTGTTGACAGACTTGGCCTTCATAACTTTGCTGCTAACCATGTCAGGAGAGGGAATAGATCAGCTCTCTGTGGCTGCCTTCAGAGTGGAGGTCATAGTTTGGGATGCCCCGTAATCAGCTCAGAGCTGATCTGAATTAAACATCTGCTTAATTTCTTAGACCGGATGTGGGCAAGGCTGATCTAATCTTAGGCCCAACTATTATGTCCTCTCTCCAGACCAGCTTCTTGGATTCTCATCCTCTAACAGCTTGTTGATCAAATTGTCAAAGTCTTATAGTGGAGGGAGGGTATGCCCTCAAGCTTCAGCTCTTCTCAGTCTTGAGGAGATTTTAGTTAATTTTGCTATGTATCCTTAAGAGGCCAGAAAGATTCTAGTTCTTGCCTTTCCTAGATTGAGGTAATCAGAGGGAGTTCACTTGCAAAGGGAAAAACACAATGCTTGAAAGTGGGACAAAACTGAAGACCTCTATCTTGGTCTCTTCACTTTTTTTTTATCAATATGATTCACGGGCATCTGGCAGTCATTTGACCCTGCCTCTTCTCCTGCCTCTATCAATCCTTGGTCAGTACCGTCAGCTTAAAAAGCTTCTGACTTTGCCAGGCTCCTGTAAATGAACAGCTGGGCGGACCAGTGTGAGAGTGATTGTCCTCAAGAGGGAGTCGGGATGAACAAAGCCAACATACACAGAGGCTGTCACCATCTGCACTGGCTAACTGAGAAAACGGATGTTCCTGTCTCATGTACTGCGGGGCTGTGTTCTCTAACTAATCACTCATTTATAGTCCCAAAGCTGAAAAGTCTTAGAACCTGCACTAAAGGGGATCCTTGGGTGGCTCAACGGTTGAGCGTCTGGTCCTGGCATGCTCGGCCAAGGGCATGATCCCGGGGTCCTGGGATCGAATCCCGCATCGGGCTCCCTGCGTGGAGTCTGCTTCTCCCTCTGCCTGTGTCTCTGCCTCTCTCTCTCTCTCTCATGAATAAATAAAATCTTAAAAAAAAAAAGAACCTGCACTAACAATGTAAAATGGGACAAACCTCTATCTCCTTGATACTCTTTGCAGACAGAATGAGGATGATGCCCATCCCGAGGCAGAACGCTCCCGCAGCGAAGAAGCCGGAGAGGACTCCGGTGGCTGAGAGCTGGAGCCGGTAGGCAGGCAACTGCTGCTGCTTCAGGGCAGTGTTGTCTGGCAATCTGGACTGGTAGTCCTCGGATATCCTCTTCATTTTGGTCCTGCAGGTGACTGAGATATACTCTTCAGACATTTAAAACATTATTATGGGGAATCCCTGGGTGGCTCGATGGTTGAGCATCTGCCTTCAGCTCAGGGCATGATCCTGGGGTCCTGGGATCGAGTCCCATGTCAGGCTCCCTGAATGGAGCCTGCTTCACCCTCTGCCTGTGTCTCTGCCTCTCTCTCTCTCTCTTATGAATAAATAAATAAAATCTTTTTTAAAAAATAAAACATTATTATTTGTAGTAATACTGCATCACAGTAATGCTAGACTATGAATTATAGGAACTTTCCTTTGTAGTTGTAGAATTTCTGCTTCCCAGAAATTATTCCTTAACTAAACCTGATATTCAGCAGGAACACAGCTCTCTTCAATCAGTCATTGGTATATTTTACTTGAGGCTCAAAAAATGTGCGCCAAATGCTATGCCTAGGAGGAACAGTCCCCGGCAGGGTCTGCAGAGACCAACATCTGGTGACATTGGGAAGCAGTTGTAACAGGCTATTTCTGGGATGTGGTGACTAATTCAAGGCAAGCCCTTCCTGAAAGGGGGAAAAAGGATTTATCTTTGAGAGCTTGCCTAAAGCCTTGGAGATTAATACGAAAAATAAAAGTTAGGGCTATTTTTTCCAAATATGGCTTCTTTTAACATAAATATAAACTAAGTTGGAGAAATGTTCTCAGATTACAGCTAACTTTGCTACCTGTGATAATGAGGAAGAAGGAAGCAAACAGGGTTTGTAGAGCACAGATGTCTAATATTAGCAGCTGCCAATTTTTTTCATCCATAAGAAAGACTCCAGTAGAAAATACACATTAAAAACATCTCCTCCAAACTTTTTCCAAGCATATGTTTTGGAGTAGCTCAAATGAGGCAAGAAAAAGGAAGAGGAAGATAGATAATTGGTTAAATGTTCAATATTACAATATGGTTTTGTTGGTTTGATTTGGGGTTTTTACTCATTTATCAGAAATCCCCTAACCTTTCATTAGACTGTTAATAATTAATTCCTTTTCTTTAAAGTGTATTTAAGATATAGAATTAGGTTTTTTTTTAAAAAAACGGCAACTTTCTAATCCCCCTTTTTCCATTAACATTAGGCAGAGAAGCCATGTTGGACTATTTTTATTTTTATCTTATTTCATTTTCTTAAGAGATGGGGCAGAAGGAGAGGGAGAGAGAGAATCTTAAGCAGACTCCACATCCAGCATGGAGCCTGATGTGGGGATTGATCTCATAACTCTGAGACCATGACCTGGGCCAAAATTAAGAGTCAGATGCTTAACTGACTGAGCTACCCAGGCACCTGTGGATTATTTTTATATTAAAGAAGGCAAATGACTTTGGCAGGTGTACCTAGTTTAAAAGAACACAAAATAAATGCAATTACTTAGATTAGGTGGTATTCAATTCAGAGCAAAGCTTCCCACTTGCAAAATTGGGAAAAGCAAGTATCAGGGGGGAAATTTTCAACATATCACTTGAATCTAGCTTGGAGATGGTGACAAGTATGGTTGCTGGTATCAGCTTTGTATGAGAAGATGGCAGCAAACATTTCTAATTCACATCTACTATTTGTTTTACTAAAGAAACACAAGAACTTGGATTTAAAAGGCAGCAACAGTCCACAAATTAGATTATATGTGCACAGTTGGCCTACAAAATAATCAGGTATGTTTGCCATCTGGGTGCTTGGTCCAACCTTGGGTGGAATTATATACTACATAGATAACACCTAGCCAAAGGGCCATTATAGTAACAAATCTGTGAGAACAGAATTTCTTAGGTTTTTTTTATAAAACAACAAAACAAACTAACCAAAATCTTAAAGTAGAAGGAACTTTCGTTTAGTATATTAGTCAGGGTTCTCCAGAGAAATAAAATTAATTGGAGGTATGTAAAGATATTTTTTAGAAGGAATTGGCTCACATGGTTATGGAGAAGGCTGGCAAGTTCAAAATCTGTACAGCTGATGTCTCAGTTTGAGCCTAAGGCCAAAAGGTGCTGTAAAATCAGGAAGAGTTGAGGTCCCAGTTTGAAGGCTATCAGACAGGGAAGAGCCAATGTTTCAGTTGGAATCAGAATTCCCTCTTATGGGGGGCAGGGGGAGGCGGTTTATGGTGGGTGTATAGGGGGTGGGCAGTGTCAACCTTTTGTTCTATTCAGGCTTTCAACGGACAGGATGAGGCCCAACCACATTAGGGAGGGCAATCTGCTTTATCAAGTGCACCCATTTAAATGCTAATCTCATCCAAAAATACCCTCACAGAAACACTCTGGATAGTATCTGCTCAACTATCTGGACAACCTCTGGCCCAGTCAAGTTGACACATAAAGTTAACCATCATAGGTAGTAGGTGAACACATTTCTGGGGCAACATTCTTGAGATAGAACAGATCACATTTTATAGGTACTTCTATATTTACGTATTTCTCTTCTAAATAAACCTATTTCAAGCATACAAATATACTTCATATACTCTGCTTTTCAAGTTTCTAAAACTGGATTTCCTTAACCTCAGTGCTACTGATTAATATTTTGGGCCAGATACTTCTTTATTGTGGGGTTGTTCTGTAGGATTGTAGGACGTTGAGCAGTATCCTTGGCTAAAGGGTACTACCTACTAAATAAATGCCAGTCATAACTCCCCACTAGATGTTAGTAGTATCCTCTCAGTTATGACAACCAAACATGTCTCTGGACATAGCAAATGGCCCCCGGGGGCCAAAATTGCCCCTGGTTGTTGAAGATCCACAATTCTAGATATGGGTATGATAATTTGTTAGCAGCTGTTATATTGTGATATCATTGGAAATTTTAGAGAGTGATTTTTTAAAGTCCTTGCTTTCATTTCTCTCTAATGCTGTGTAGATAGCTTCCCAAGGGATTACCAGATATTTTCTGTAAATCTGAGATTATTATAAGATAAAAAGGTAAAAAATAATTAAGATAGTTGTAGTTATGTTGTCGTCTTTCATGCATTTGTAAAGTGTTACATATATGTGCAACTGCTTCTATCACTACCACTGCCACCCTTTGCACTGGGACCAGGCTTTAGTTTAGAAAACTGTTCCATGAGCACCATCACACAGATGCCTCAACAATCCTAGGAGGTACCATTCTCATTTTGCAGCTGATGAAACTGAGGCTCAGAGAGGGAAGTGGCTTGGCTAAGGTTGCGCAGCTGCTCCTTCCTTCTGCATGGTAACATTAGAGGCCAGCTGGTGAAGGAAAAACTCAGTCTGCTCAACAAAAATCATATACAGGCTGGTGATACTTTATTATACAGAGAAGTTGGCAAAGGACAGCTTTATTTTTGTCAAAGAATCTCCACCAAAAATTTCTAGTGATTCATCTGGTGATGCAGTTAACATAATAAAACAATAGCTGATATTTACTGAGTCCTTGCAATATTCCAGAGCTATTAAATGAGACGAAAACCCCAGCATAAAAGCTGAAATTTTCATTAGAACCCAGACTTAGAAAAGGCCCAGCTTCAAAGATTCTGATTTGCACAGACTGAGGACTCCCATTTCCAGAAGTTCAAAAACCTCCTTTCTTATCTAAATGAGAGAAAAGAAAAAAAAAAAATAAAGTTAAGATCAAGCAAAGATGGTCTTGGTGAATAAATTCAGCCATCTGGACTTCCTGGTAATTGTGTAGCTGTCATGGCCAGAATCAAGGAGGGCAAAAATCCTAAACTACATTTTATGCAGAATTAAAGTATTTACTTAAGTAAAGGAAGAGGTACTAAATAAAACATCAGTTTCATTAGAGGGCCCTCTTATAACCATTCAAAATAAAATCTCATGAAAGAAATCTTATACAAAGGGGTTTCAAAATACCCAAAGTATGGCTAGATTGCACATATATTTCAATATAGGATAGCTGATAATGATGACATCAACATAATACAAATAACTATGGATGACAAAGTTTTTTTTGACACAATTTCTCATTATTATTATAATTAGAAAACTTAGAGTGGATTACTCAGATTTCACATTACAACTGAAATAATCAACTATGGCCTTATGTGCTAACATCGAATTTGTTAAACTAGTTTTAAAAAATCAGTTCAGGGCTCAGGGTGTGTGTGTGTGTGTGTGTGTGTGTGTCTGAAAAAATTGTCTTTTAACTTGTACTGATCAATCATAATCAGGTTGGTCATTCTGGGGATATAGTTTTATATGGTAAATTAATTTACTCAGCATGTTTGGAGGATTAGTTCCAAATCTCTCTGATAGTTACTGCCATGGTTAATTGGTGATTGGCAGCCATTTTTATTATTGGACAAACCTTCTTCTCCCCAACAGATACTTCTAAACAGCAGGCTAGAATGAAAAATTAGCCCCATGATACATAGTAGGTGGCAAATACATTTTTCACATTTTAATGACAGTGGATTACTTTCATAAGTATATAATAAGCTAATGCTGTGGCCACAAAGGCATTCAATCAGTTTTAATCCACTGAGACATCAAAATAATTTCCCCACCCCCCAAAAAACAAAATAGCCCTCTATCTTAAGTGAGTTTTGGGTGAGGGAGATGTGGGCCATGAGGCAAGTTTATGCCCCTGCTTCCTCATGCACTTATAAGAATGAAAGACAAAGATGGCTATGTCTCTAAAGCAAGGCACAAAAAATGGGCAAGTCCTCCAGGTCTTCTTGTTTCTCAAAGGTACAGCATAGATGTGGCCCCCAGTGGGGTGGAGGCCATTGGTCATTTAATGAAGAAACAAAGCTGATTCCTATAAAACACATGGAAAGGATACAGTGAGGTCTAAGGGAGTGAGATGGACTCTATAATTGTAGTTACTTCAGAGTTAAAAGCTAGAAATCATTTCAATGGCCAGAATGTGCTGGCTCCTCATGTCAATGACTTTATTACTGTATTTGAACTCAAGTTCAAGTCGAAGAAAAAAAGATTAAAGGCAATTGCTGGTTACACGGTACCTCGGGAATGTCCATCATCCTCCTCAACTTCTGATCTCTCCAGTTCCAGTCAAAAACCAGGAACTTTAAGGGGTTCAAATTAAGGCCACCTAAAAGAAACACAGAGAGTTGCTACAGCAAAGACCTCATGACAGAAGTTTATTCAAATTACTTTTTAGTCTCCTAGTTGCTTTTTGCCTCATTTGCGGTCCTCTCCCCCAGCAACTAATCTCTACACACTGAATGCAGCCAATGCTTTCCTGATGGAAAACAAATGCAGCACCCTGAGATTGCTTTCCTTATAATCTTATCACTGATTCTGAGGGAAGCAGAGAAGCTGCTAAGTTTGTCAATTGCTCAAGTGCTGGGAAAGAATCAATCCCAAGCCTCCATCTCCTGAAGCCCGGGAGGGTGAAGTGCAGTTTGGGTAGTGGGCCTTCAGAGAAGCTGAGTCCAATGGAATGTGAATGATTATGAGGAGGTGAATGGACAGAGGATGAAGCTGGGCTCAGTGGTTAATTTTAGACAGAAAAGGAAGTAAATATGAATAACTTTTATTCAAAGTCTGTTATCATTTGAGAAGGCTAGTAAACCACTTAGGACTCCATTTCTACTATCTTCCTATCTATCTACAGACGGTTATGGAATGTGGCGCTGGAGGGGACCTCAGGGATTATCTGTTCCTCAGAGGTCTCAGAGTTGGGTTAGTTTTTCCCACTCCCCATGTTCTTCCTATTGCCCCAATCTGTTTCCTGTTACATGTGGAAACATAACCAAAGCCTTTCTTGACTCTGCAGCACTTCCCCTCAACTTTTCTCTGTGATTATTTCAGTATTTCCCCTTCTGCCTAAGAGACTTTTCCTTCTTCTTCCTCTTCTTCTCTTCTTTAAAGATTTTATTTATTTGACAGAGAGAGAGAGAGCGAGAGCGCACAAGCAGGGGAGCAGCAGAGGAAGAGAAAGAATAGGCTCCCCACTGAGCGAGAGACCAACATGGGGCTCGATCCCAGGACCCTGAGATAATGACCTCAGCTGAAGGCAGTTGTTTAACTGACTGAGCCACCCAGGCGCCCCTCATTCTTTTTATAATTATAATGCCTCTTATTTATTCAAATATTTTTATTTATTTGAGAGAGAGAGAGAGAGAGAGAGAGAGAGAGAATGCTTGCCCAAGCGCCCAGCTGGGGGGAAGGGCAGAGGCAGACAGAAGCTCAAGCAGCCTCTGTGCTGAGCATGCTCTGACACAGGGCTCGATCTGTGACCCTGAGATTAAGACCTGAGCCTAAGTCAAGAGTTGGAAGCTTAACCAACTGAGCCACCTAGGTGCCCCCGTAATACCTCTTATTTAAAATTCTCTCTGCGAAATTAAAAACGATAAATTGAGAAGGACAGTGGGTTGGTAGTTTTCCCTTAAAAATAATTTACTGTTAATGGGAGAGCAAAAAGGTACAACCTATCAGGAAGGTACTTGAGCATTATCTAATAGGAGCTTTAAAATGCTTGCTATTTGGTAAAATAATTTTCTTTCCATGACATAGCCCAATAAATACATTAGAAACTTAAATATAGTTAATGGGGTGCCAGACTGGCTCAGTCAGAAAGTATATGACTCTTAATCTTGGGGTTGTAAGTTCAAGACCCACATTAGGTGTAGAGAGGACTTAAAAACAAAATCTTAAAAAAGAGAGAGAGAAACTTATAGTTACTTGCAAAGATGATCATTGCAGTATTATTTATATTAGCAAAAAATCAGAAATAATCCAGTTATCCTACCATAATTGAATTGCTAAAAAAAACAATATAACTTGGGATAAATATCCAAAATACATAAAGAACTTCTGCAAATCAGTAGCAAAAAACACAAATCTGAATTAAAAGTCAGAGGAAATGAATAGATATCTTTCCAACGAAGACATTCAAATAGCCAACAAGGACATGAAAAGGTGCTCAGCATCACTGATTATCAGGGAAGTGCAATTTTAAACCACAATGAAATATTACCTCACACCTGTTAGGATGGTTATTACCAGAAAAACCCACAAGAAATAATAAGTGTTGGAGAGGATATGAAGAAAAGTGACCTGTTGTGTACTGTTGGTAAGAATGTAAATTGGTGCAGCCGCTATGGAAGGTAGTAGGGAGGAAATTGATAACAGAACTACCGTATGATCTAGCAATTCCACTTCTGGGTATATACTCAAAGGAAACAAACTCACTAGCTCAAAAAGATATCTGCATCCCTGTGTTACTGCAGCATTATTTATAATAGCCAAGACATAGAAACAACCCGCAGGGTCCATCAACAAATGAATGAAGAATATGTCACACACACACACACACACACACACACACACACACACACAGAGAGAGAGAGAGAGAGAGAGAGAGAGAGAGAGAGAGAAATACTATTCAGCCATAAAAAGGAAGGAAATCCCGTCATTTGTGAAAATAGGGATGAATCCTGGGAACATTACACTAAGTGAAATAAGTCAGACAGAGAAGGACAAATACTGTATCATCTCACTTATATGTGGTATCTAAGAAACCTAACTCATAGATACAGAGAACACATTGGTGGTTGTCAATGGTGGGGGTTGTGGGGGAAAATGGGTGAAAGTGTTCAAAAGGTAAAAACTTCCATTTGTAAGGTAAATAAGTTCTGGGGATGTGATGTACACCACAGTGACTACAGTTAATACTGTATTGTGCATTTGAAATGTAGTAAGAGAGGAGATCTTAAGAGTTCTCATCATAAGAAAAAAAATTTATAACTATTCAAGGTGACGTTAACTAAACTTATTGTGGTAATCATTTCACTATATATGTATAAAGTCATATTGTACACACTGGACTAATACAATGTTATATGTCAATTATGTCTCAATAAAATGTAAAAAACAAGTAGAATATTATGTAGAATATTATATAGCCATTAAAAATGAAAAATTAAAATTTTCATGCCAACGAAAATCTTCCTAAGATATGTTAGGTAGAAAACACAAGTTAAAAAATTATGATATACAGTTTGATCTCCACTTATAAAACTAAATATATAAATGCATAGAAAAAAGACTAAAGGAAATATATTCAATATTAACTAACAAGTGATTATCTCTAAAGTGATTTATTTTCTTTTCTATACCTTTTTGCATTGTTAAAAAGCTCTGATTGTTAGAAAATCTCCATTATTAAATCTCTCCACTGAGACCTCACAACTCTATGAAAATCAAATTTCAACAATCTATACAGCTTTGTTCCCTCTCTCTCCCTTTCTCTTTTTTATTTTTTTTATTTTTATTTTTTAAATTTTTATTTATTTATGATAGTTACACACACACACACACACAGAGAGAGAGAGAGAGAGAGAGAGAGAGAGGCAGAGACACAGGCAGAGGGAGAAGCAGGCTCCATGCACTGGGAGCCCGATGTGGGACTCGATCCCGGGTCTCCAGGATCGCGCCCTGGGCCAAAGGCAGGCGCCAAACCGCTGCGCCACCCAGGGATCCCTCCCTTTCTCTTTTTTAATATGGTGAAGAGTGACCTTATTCATGGGTGGCCTAGAGACACACAAAGAACCACCTGGATTCTAGGCAGGGATGAGGTGAATCTTTAGCTAAGAGCTGTGGGAGAGGCAAGGTCCACCTGCTACCCAGCCAATCTCTTCCAACTCTGTGTCTCGCAGATTTGCTATGAGCACATCTCATCTGTCCCTTCACTTCAATGCCCTCTCATGTCCCTAAGGCAAAAATCCCAACTCTTCAGCTTAGTGTTCAAGGTCCTCCCTCCATACTCTGACTTTCTTTCCAATTGAATCACTGGCTACTAAAGCCCATGAAGTTTTCAAACAAGAAAGTTGGTCTCTTTCATAAACAATAAAAATCAGCATTGGATTTTTTTTAAAGATTTTATTCATTTATTCATGAGACAAACACAGAGAGAGGCATAGACACAGGCAGAGTGAGAACCAGGCTCCATGCAGGGAGCCCGATGCGGGACTCAATCCCAGGACTCCAGGATCATTCCGGGCCAAAGGGAGGCAGGCGCTCAACCGCTGAGCCACTCAGGCGTCCCTAGCATTGGATTTCTTAGGGTGTAAAACTCATTGTGGCAAACTTTTTATTGGCATTTTATTACTATACCAATCCTTTGAGGAAGATACTACCACTATCCCTGTCATTTGAGTGCAGAAACAGATTTGGAAAGGTTAAGTAACTGGCCAGTTGCTGGATCTGGGATTTGACTCTGAAGGTCTGAATCCGTAAGAGGGGCTTTAACCTCAACGCTGTATCTCAATTATATGTATCTGCGTGCTCTTCTGATTCAGCAGTTTCACCATTCTTGATTGCTTTTCTCATATCTCCATACTTCAAAGATCCTATTTCAATCCTCATACTTCTGAGATCAGTTAAAGACCATTATGTCTCTGCAAAGCCTTCCATACAGATTCAACCTCCATAAATTTCAACCCCTATAGGATTTGGAAATGCTCATTTGGCCCTTGGCATATACTGCCTCATGTTGTCAATCTCCTTCCATGTATATTTATTTCTTCAAGGATCAGGAGCTCCTTGAGAGGGAAAAGCTGTGGAACTAGGAAGGCCTAGACTGAGAGACTGTGGGAGAGCCACTTAACCCTTCAGAGCATCAGAGTTTTATTCAGAAATAAAAATGCTAGACTTCAAGGGTGCCATGAATATTTAATGAGATACCTAGGAGTGTTTAGCGTAGCACCAGTGCAAGTATGAACTCAAAAAATATTTCCTTTCCTTGTCCGGGGCTGCCAAGTTTGTTACTTCTTTGTAATTGCAGACTTTTGTATATAGTGGGTTCATTTAACCCTGGATGATTTTCATCTGGAAGGAAACATTAGTATTTTAAGCTTTTGTTTGCTTCTTGGCAAATGACCAACTCTACACTGAGCTATTACATTGATGAACACATTTCTTTTAGATATATAAAAAAATCTAGGAAAAGCTCCAGTTACAAAACAAAGTTCTATTAGTGTATTAAATAAGTAATTTGGAAAAGATTATTGAAAAGAAATCTTTAATGGTCTGGCAGGTAAAATAGGTAATAAGATCATCAGCAGATTAACAGGTTTTAGGCTACTGACTTTGAGAGAGCCAAGAAATTATAAAAACCTGCTGGTGGATGCTGTCTGGAATACTTTCTGGGTAAAGTACTAAAAGAGAAATGCATCTGGGAGAAATATTCTAGGATACCTATATTTCATCCATGGAAACTGCATTTTTGTTTCAACATGTTTTGTAAAAAGCCTTCAACTGAAATAGGAGTCTTGGGAAACTAAGATTCAATTAATTAAGAGGGAAATACTCAACTCATCCAGCTCTACAAATTCTAGAGGTTGCAAATTGGTGGAATGAATTGTGGATCCACTAACTTGCTTAAAAAGCAACTTGAACTGCAGTTTGCCACAATCCTTACTATTCCCTATTGCATTATACTTATGCTGGCCAGCTTTACTGACAAAAGACTATTTCCAACTCCCAAATTAACACAGAAGTCTGATTTCACTACATTACAAATGCAGTTTCTTAAATTCACATGGGGTTAAGGGAAACTCCCAGTTCTGATTAGGCATATCAATGCCTCTCTTCATACCTTGTTTATTTTTTATTTTTTTTTTTCATACCTTGTTTAATGAGTTCTTTAATCCTCCCTGGTGTTCCGACACCCAGGTGTACAACACGCTTCTCCAGCAGCTTTACCTGCTCCTGGACCTATTTTTCCAAGATGGAAGAGTTGAAAGAAAAGAAGAGTCATTAGAAAGTGATCATAGGCGCTTTATTTAAAAGTTAAGGAAGTAAAAAAGTAAATGGGGCTACCTTTGTTTAGGCCCAACTTCCAGTGCAAAGAAGGTTAATTAACATCAGACAGAAAAGCATCGCTCTGTAAAATTGGTACATCTTCAAAGAACCCAGGGGTCAAACCTCAGCTCCTAGGCAGGAATTGTGGAGCACAGAGGAGAAGCAACTATTGTTGGGGCAGGTGGGCATGCAGAGGCAGGGAATGTAAAGAACACCAGAACAGCTGTTAAATATGTTATATAAGGAGGCATCAAAGAAAACACCTGCTAAGGAGATAAGAAAAACCAAGGAGTGGCCCTTAGATAACTTACATTCCCCATCAGGACCCACAGGGCCTTGCTTACCTTTATGTGTTTTGCGAATAATTTCATAACTTTGCTGTCTCCTCTGAATGCTGTCATCGACCTAAGGGGAAAAAAAAGATCAATGCCTAAGAAAACTTACTCACTGAGGGCCACTTTGACTACTTAAGTTTTATGTCTGGCTTTAAAGAGAGTATGTGTATTTATGTGTATAACTGAGAGCATGTGCATGTTTATATATACACAGACGCAAAAACTTCTGAGATTTTCAGGTCAGCCCATCTCTGGAAGGAAAGTGAGGAGGCCTTTAATTCAGGCACGTATCTGGGTTGGCTTTGACTTTTCATACACAAGGTTAATTAACTCTACTGAAGTTTCCTTGATAACTGAAACATATGTATCTGCCCTTCATCTGTAATATAGGATTTCTGATTTCAGATCCCTGGCAGGGAATTTATTTTTAAACTGTGAGAGAAGAAGAAAGCCTTATGTATTTCAATCAGAGCAATCTTCTACTTTTACCTAAATAGGATGACAGTTTAGGGGACATATTTAACATTGATTCATGGTCCTCAAAAGAAAAGGTACTCTTACAAAAGTTAGAATTATTTACCATTAGTACTTATGAATAGGGCTTGTTGTGCTAGCTCAGAAATCCCTTTTTGCAAATCACCTAACCTTGAAGTGGATCATAATATTACCAAAGACACAGAAGAACACAGGATTGGTAAATGAAGTGTGACAACATAGTGCTTTTGTGCCCTTTGGAAAGGTATTTATGTATAGTGAAAGCTCAAATCAATGTGACGGCTTGTTTTTAAGAGGCCATCCCCAGGCCAACCTCTTTGCCATTAATATTTGAACTGAAATGAGTTCTGTGGTGGTAGTTTTTAAAACACTGAAAAGTCAATGTGAACTACTATGATTTCAGAACCAGCAAGTACAGCTACCCAAAAACAGTTGGAGTCTTGAAGATCAATTGTGTTTAGAGAGGAAATAGTTGCATGGAACACTTTTGTTTTGCTGAAAGCCTGTGTGATACAATTTAATGTGTGTGCCTCATGGGGAAAGGAGATTTTGAAGAATTTAAAAACTACTTTTCTAAATTTGGAATCAGATTAGTTTGTTTAGAAAAATAGATGCTAAATAACTACTGAGAGTCTACATTTGAACCTTAATTTATTTTCTCCAGGACTTGGATTTTCCTTTGTTTTGTCTCCTGTCGAAGCCTGGTGCAGAGCCTGGCTCTGGAAGAGGGCTAGTTCCATTAGTAAATTCCATTTTACTCTGATGTCTCTTCTCTGAAAGCTCAATGTTACCACTGATCCAGTGGAAGCATTTTCTTTTTTCCTACAAAAACTAAACTAAATGAAAGGGTATGTGAAAGCACTTAGTAAAGCACTGACAAATTATCTTTAAAACATAATTTTTATATTAAAAATTTCAGTCTATTTGAATTTACCTTGGTATAAGAAGTGAGATAGGAATCCAACTTTACTTTTCCAGATGGCTACCCAGTTGTTCCAATACCATTTATTAAATAATCCATCTTTCCCTACTGATTTGTCACCTTTGCCGTATGTTAGGTTTTCATAGGCATATGGGCCTACATCTGGACTTCCAATTCCGTTCCCCTGGTGTGATCTGGCATGCATATGCCAGTTCCATACTGTTTTAGTAAGTGAGACTTGGTAATATATGTCTATTGGTAATCTGATAATACTACAGGCATAGTATCCTTTAATACTCTTTATCAGAGTTTCTCCAGCCACTTTTCTTCTGGATTTTCTCTTATGAGCTTAGCTTCTTTTAAAAATTTGAACTTTAGTTTATCTGGCTAGAAAACCAATTCTATTGGGGTTATATTGGGAATCTGTGAATTTTATAGATTATTCTAGGTAAAACAGACATCTTTACAATATTGATTCTTCCCTCCCCACCTTTTTAAAGATTTTTATTTATTTATTTGACAGAGAGAGAGAGAGAAGGAGAGAGAAAGAGCGCGCACAAACAAGTACAAGCAGGGGCAGTGGCAGAGGGAGAGAGAGGAACAGACTCTCCACTGAGCAAGAAGCCTAATGAGGGGCTTGATCCCAGCACCTTGGGACCATGACCTGAGCTGAAGACAGAGAGTTAACCAACTGAGCCACCCAGGTGCCTCTATATTGACCCTTCCTATTCAACAACATGGTATGCCCTTTTGTTCAAGATCTCCTGAGTTGCAGAGCACTTATGTGGCTCACTGGGTTAAGCATCCAGCTCTTGATTTCGGCTCGGGTTGAGATCTCGGGGTTGTGAGATCGAGGCCCACATCAGGCTCTGTGCTGGGCATGGAACCTGCTTAAGATTCTCTCTCTTTTTCTCCCTCTGCCCTCACTCCCTCTTTAAAAAAAAATCTGAGTTACTTATGTAATACTTTCTTTATATAGATTTCGGTAAGTTTATTACTTGTTCTATTTTTTTCTTGTTATCCTTTTAAATTAGATCTTTTCTTCCATTGTTTTTTTCCAATCAGTTACATTATTTCATTGCTTTTACTCTTGCCCTCTATAATGTGTGTTCTCCATGCAGCAGAGAAAGTGATCCTTTTGAATGATTGATTATTCATATCATATGACTCCTCGGCTCAAAATCTTCCAAAAGCATCACATCTCAGGGCCTTTTTGTGCTTACTGTCCAGTCTATCTGGAATGCTTTTCTTCTAGATATCTGCTTGGCATTCTCCTTCACTTTGTTCATGTCTCTGTTCAATGTCAATCTCCTTAGAGAAGCTTACTGTGACAACTCTTTTAAAAGTAACCCCTCAACCCCCTCTATCCCTTTGCCAAATTTATTTTTTCTTATATAACTCAACGTTATCTGACATTGTAATGTATATTTATTTGTTCGTTGCCTATCTCCCTCACTAGAAAGTAAGTTCCATGACAGAAGGGAGTCCATCTGTTTTATTCATTATTGCATCTCTAGCATAGAACACATCAGCTTGACACATATCAGTTACTCAGAAAATGCTTACAAAAACAAATAGGTGAAGTGTCTAACCTAATGAGCTCCAAGGCCCGGACAGCAGAGCTGCAGATGATCAGCATCAGAACTGATTTCTTCTCATTATGGTTTTTCCGAAGTTTTACCCACTTAGGACAGACTGAAAAAAGACCATAAGAAAAGTTTTACTCTAAATATAGGAAAATAGGGCCCCTAAAATTGAGTATCCTTCAATTATTCTTTGTTAGTGTTTAATTAAAGTAAAATATAATAAGTACTGTCCAGATTCTATTCTATGGCTATTCTAGATATTAGATTAAAATGAAATATCATAACTTATAACATAAAACACATAATATGCCAAGTAGCTAAATGTGACTAGTTTTAGGACCAAGTAAAAAAAAAGGCTGGAATAATACATTTTTGACAATTTATGTTTGATGCCTGAAGGCAAAGACTAAATAGGAAAAGAACTCTGATTCAATAACGTTAGATTTTAAAGAAACACTCGAGATAAAAATGGAAATGACATTAAAAAATAGCAAGCATTTATTAAACATGAACACTGTTCTCACAATCCAGTGAAGTTGATTCTACTATTACCTATATTTATACTTGCTGAATTTGAGGCGGAGAAGGGTTTATGAACTCAAGTTGAGTGTCATCAGAGCTGATTTGAGTTTGAAAAAAGAATGTTAAATCTCTATATCTAAATTATTTTATTGTCAACCACAAATAGGTGACTATCTAATATGAATAATCTTTAGCTTATTACTGGCTACATACAATATATATTGAAAAGATGAAATCAGATTGTGCAGTGTATATCCATGGTCTGAGTTCTGAGCATGTGAACAGAATTTCAGAATTTTACAGCTAGAATAAAGATCACATGTCCAACTTCCTTATCTTTCAGAAAACAAAATCAAGTCCCAGAAGAGTACTCAGAGATCTGTCCCAGATCAAACAGCAAATTAGTGAGGGTCTTGGAACTAGAACACTTATTCTCTGGATTCCTGTATCAATACTTCTAATGTATTATAAACAAAAAATGAGACTAAAACCCAAATAATTAAAGCCAGAGCAAAACAAGAATAAGCTTAAATAAACAAATTAATATCAAGATGGACCTTAAGAAAAACCTCCATTTCAAATCCATTTGAGGTGGAAAGTTCTGCTTTTAAATGTAGTTTTAAAAGTTTTTAAAGAGATGGATGTTTTAATGGAGTAATAACAAGTTGGTGAAGAATCTAAAAGAAAATTAGAGTTTACTTACTTTCTCTTAGGTATGATGAAAGACTATGAGTCAAATCATTGGCCTTGAGGAAACAGGAGTCTAGAATACAACAAACATGTTTTGTAGAGGATTTTGCAAAAACACACATGATCAAAATAAGTTCATTGTGAATTGTGCCTTCTTGAATAATATTGTAAAACATTAGTGAATGAGGGCTCATTATATATTTGAAAGTGTTGTTCAGTATTTAAAGCAACAGCAGCAATAAGAACAAGTAAACTTTTAATTGTCCATAATTTCTTAGAGTAAAAACTTCACACAGTAGATTTTAGATGTACTTCTATTAAGGGTATAAATACTGTAGCATATTATAAACAAATTATTATAATTTGTTTAAATAAATAGTATTACAAACAAACAGAGTGGGAATAACGTATCAAAACACAATACAACACCACAGTAAAAGACAATATAACACTGAAATAAAATATAGGGGCCTTGCTCAACCAAGGACTATCACAGTCTAGCAATTATGTAGCATTATTAATTACATTTAAGATGTATAAAAAAGCAAAATCAAGTTTACCACTCTAATTCTTTCTACAAGAAAAAGGTTTTCTATAAATACAGAAGAGTGCTAAGGAGTAAGCTATTACTAAATTAAATGACATTGGGATCCCTGGGTGGCGCAGCGGTTTGGCGCCTGTCTTTGGCCCGGGGCGCGATCCTGGAGACCCGGGATCGAATCCCACATCGGGCTCCCGGTGCATGGAGCCTGCTTCTCCCTCTGCCTGTGTCTCTGCCTCTCTCTCTCTGTGACTATCATAAGTAAATAAGTTAAAAAAAAAAAAAGATCTTTCTAAAAAAAAAAAGAAATAGATAAATAAATAAATTAAATGACATTTATATTGTGACCCAGCATATACAACTCACATTTTGTGAGTTAACTTCAAAGATGTTGCTTCCTATACAGCTGTAGAGCCTTTGATGGTCTTTAAAACTGTAATTTCCCAAGCCTCCATATGATTAGCCTCACCTGGAGAACTTTACAAAAGATCCAGATTCCTGGGAGGGACTCCTTTTGTTCGTAAGTCAGAATTCCTTTGGGGTGGGCCTGGGAATTTGTTTTTTAAGTTCTTGGGTGATTCAGTTGCTGCTAGCCTACAGGCATTTTAGCCCTGATCTAAACCACACTGCAGCTCTCAGGAGGACAGCTGAGTTAACTCCAAGAAATTCCTGTCTCAAAACTAATTAAGTGCCCATGTGTATGACATTACCAATGTACAGTGAACAATATTAATTGAAAAGACATGTTCTTGCCCTACAGACACAACCTCAAATCAGAACCAAGTTAGACATTCAGCAAACTAATAGGAACTTCATTATCTGTATTCACCTTATATTTATGCTTCTGCCTCTGCCTGTTCAAAATAGTCCAGTGTGTCCCTCCTCTCACCTACTACGGACTTCCTCTCTGTCCTTAGTCTCCTATGTAGCAACTGGGGTCTTTTCTCCCAAACATTCTCAGGATGAATTATTCACTATGTCTCAGAAGGGCTTAATTTCTTAACTGAAAATAAAAACCTTTTCTTTTTGTCTATAAAAGTTTAACATCTTCCTTCCTTCCTAAACCAACCTATGACCATACATTCTTATTTAACTACGTAACTAAACTGTAATAGAGCAATAATATAGTGTAAACTCACTATGGAACTCAAGTGACTTTTAAAGGTTTCTTCTGACCTCTATATCTCTACAATACCAGGAAACTAATATTTATAACGTTCCATAAGTATACAGAGTAGCAGCAGTCCCACGATCTCACAGAAGAGTGCTAAGGAGGTATACTTATCCTTCTGGAGTTGGAGGTATACTCTAACAAAGAACTGGAAGGAAAAAGCAACCACTGAGTCAACTTTAGTTAAACTTTGAACAGAGGCTTTGTTACAACACTTCGCTCCTGCGATAGAGCAGTCAGGACATAGCTCTCCTCAAAGGAACTATGCCCAGAGAGGGGTGGTTTCTAACTTCTGTTGGAGCTGTTGGGCTTTGTGCCTCTAAAGCTCCAGATCTCGCTCATGTAGAAATGCACTCCTTAAATTCCCTAAAGGGTATTCCTTTTGGAAAAGAAACAGATGGGTACTCATGTCTCCAAACTCAATGTGCATTTTTTTAAAAAGCACATCACAAAGGAATTATAAAAATTCAGGGAACAGGATGTTTGCAGCTTCTTAAGCCTCTAGAAGGCATATAGTTGTAATGGAAAAGGAAAATCAAGCTACCCTCAACTTTTTCCAACAGCAATAATTAGCTATCCCTTGTTATCTATAAATAGCTCTCCTGGAAGAGTGATACCCAAACATTGTGTGGTTTGATTTTGTAACATCTCTTTTCTTTAATCTCTGCTCTGAAGAGTTAATAGGATGTATCAATATTTTCAAATTAATTCAGTTGTTTTAAGAATTTTGCAATATCTTTTTAACTTAAGTATAACTACTCTAAGGCAGTAGATCTCAAACAGTAATAGGTTTATTTAAGAGTCTTTTGGGGTGAGGTGTCAGCTTTGCTAAAAGTGCAGAATTTTATTCCTATCTTTAGATAGTTTGCTTGAAAAAGTCTGGCCTGGGACCCAAAACATTACCACAAAAACCAAACTGTAACTAGAAATCTGTGATAAGCACAACAAAACTAAGATGCTTATTAACACTAAAGTTGGAGTACCTGGGTGGCTCAGTCGGTTGAGTGTCCGATTCTTGGTTTCAGCCTCCATGATGATTTCACAGGTCTCACAGGTGGTGAGACTGAGCCTGGCACCGAACAATCCCCCAGCCCCCAGTGGAGCCCCTTGCTGGGCTCCCTGCTCAGGTCCCTGCTCAGCATTGGAGTCTGCTGGAGATTCTCTCCCTCCACCCCTCCCGCCACTTGAATGTGTGCACTCTCTTTCTTTCTCAAGTAAATATCTCTCTTTTTTTTTTTTTAAAAAGCTGAAGTTCTTGTCTATAAAAGGTGAGAAAATTAATGTTTCATATCTATACTTTTAAAGGTGGGGATCCCTGGGTGGTGCAGCGGTTTGGCGCCTGCCTTTGCCCAGGGCGCGATCCTGGAGACCTGGGATCGAATCCCACGTCGGGCTCCCGGTGCATGGAGCCTGCTTCTCCATCTGCCTATGTCTCTGCCTCTCTCTCTCTCTCTCTCTCTCTCTATCATGAATAAAAATAAAATAAAAAAAATTTAAATGTGTGCTTTATTTTAATTTCTATTCTCAACTTAGGGTTCTTACTCCTTTAAGGATGCTAAAACAAAAAAATGCACTCAGCAATCAGCTTTTTCTTAAAAAAAAAATGCAATTACAAATCTTTCTTTAGATTGAACAAATACCATTTAGTATCTTAATAAAGAAATCATTCGGAAGTTAAAACTATGAGGTTGAGGAAAGGAGTCTCAGCACAGGGAAAACACATTGATTCACCAGCCGAGATACCTAGGTGTATCATATACAGTAGAGGAAAGATACACTGCTTTTGCTTTTCCTCATCAGGAAAGCTGACAGCAATAACAATGAGGCTTGCTAAAATGACTAACCCCAGAGTAGAAAGGGGAAAAAAATAAGGAAAAAAACCAAACAGGTCTGGTTGTACCTGGTAGGTTTAGTTCTTCTAATTCAATCACTGAGCGGCTGCTGCTGAAATAGTCCTTCATCAAGTTCTGCAGGTCTTCAGGGGTCCCTGGTTTTGGCTCTGATTTTGCAAGAACATCAGTAATTTTCTTCTAAAACATGAGAAAGGAAGAAAACCTCAGGGAAGATAGATTTTAGAATGACATTAGCTTAGAATATGTTGAATCCTCTGGCACTTAAATAGCACGTAGATTTTGGCAATAGCTGAGTGTGAATGTGAGTTCTAATAAATACACTTGAAAAAACTTAATACTTTTTGGATGTATAGCTACTGATTTGAAAAATGAATGGGTGATCTAAAAGTCTCCTTGTAACTCTTGGTCTGTGGCTTCCAAGAAAACTGAAATTTTTGTAGGAGTTTCCATAATAGGGCATTATTTTCTGTTAAAAGTCAAGAAATTGTGTTGCTGTGGAAACCTCTCTTTAATCCTTTGATGATTTTTATTCCTGGGAGAGTAGAATTTTGAGAATTTTTTGCCTAACCTGGTTTTTAAGGCACTGAGTCTCAGTTTGGATTTCTGGGATTAAAGTAAAACCCGCAGGAGTAATCTGAGCACTGGAGCCTACTGCAAAAGGGGGACTGTAGACTCAATTCTCAAGTCTTGGGAGAGAGTTGTGAGGTGGCCCTGTGGAAAGCAGAACAGGAATGACTTTACAGCATCTATTTTGATTTGAACTCATTTATGTAGCATTTACTGAGTGCCTGCAATGTATTAGGAACACTGTTCAGTTAATTTTCATCATAAACTTCCCTTCTCATTTCCTTCTAATGTTTCATCAAATATCCACAAAAGCCACTACCCACCCCCACCAGCCTTTTCAACTCCTTCCACAATATCCTCATTTCTATACCACTGCCAAGAATGGTCAAAGTTCTGTCAAATGAATTAACTTTTAAAAATATGTCATCAGTAGGCACATTTTAGCATGATCTCAGCCAAGGCTAAAACTATCTAGCTAGAGTTTTGACCTTGAGCCACCAAGAACTTAACACTCCTGAAGGCCATTAGTGTACAAACTATCAAAGAGAAGTTAAAGTCACTTCTTTAAGGACTTGCCAAACCTGAGCCAATTTGGCATCTCCCATCTTTCTATTTGGCCATTTGTGAGCAAAGAAAACATATGCACATATACCCTTAACTTTCTAAAAGCTTGCTGTTAAGTAATTGGTTTGAATCCATCTTCTTTCTTCTAATCCCAATCATATTTCCTCTGCTGAATTCAGCAGTAGACCTTTTTGGCAGGGAGAGAATTACACCACTGTTTTCACAACTGTGGTGGAAGGTCAAAGCTAACCACACTTTCTCTAAGGTTGAGCCATAAGAAAGTCTGTGTAGGAGCAATACAGTCTTCCACGCACTCATAGGCAAGTATTAAAATGCAATGCTTTAAATTACAGTTCCAAATTACAGTGAGAAATACCTTATACTACTGTCATCTGGTTAAATTTTTTTTTTTACTAGTACTCTAAGATATAAGGTTTATTTTTTTTATTTTTTTTTTTTAGATATAAGGTTTAAAAAACAGAAATGGATATGAAAAGAAAATCAATAATTTTTTTTTCCTTGGGCAGGACCAGAAAGGCCAGAGGGCAGAACAGCTTTGGGCTTCTTCTAGGCTTAGAAATCCATGTCTATCTTCTGACAACAATGAAAACAAAAGTGGGTAACAATGATGTCTGGTGCTCCACATGAATGAAATAGGAATCAGAAGAATTTATTTTTAGCTTCAACAAAAACATTTAATACTAGTGACCTTAGGAAAGTCACCAAACCTCACTGTATATTATAATCTCTGAAGTGGGAATTACAATAGTTGCCTCATCAAAGTATACTATACAGAAATGTGAGGTAAATCACTGGGGGTTGTAAGAAAATTTTAAGAAAAGTATTAATATACCTTTCTTCTCCTCCTTGTCTTGGTGGCATCTTCTTTTGTTTCCTTTGGTTTTATCAAGAAACATTCTTTAGGCTGTAAAGAGATACAGATGAGGAAATTTTCATCTTAGCATGATAAGGTGGTCAAGTCATGGTAGGAACCCCAAAGTACCAAAAAAAAAAAAAAGGAACCCCAAAGTACCTAGGCCATACATGTATTCTTCATAGTATCTTGGTAATATACAGACAGTGATGTTGGAAGACCCATAGGCTACCAGGCAGGGACTAGGCTGAGGGAATTTGAAAAAATCAGAAAGTGCAGATGATTTGAGACTGGTAAATCTTTGAACTCAGGTCAAAATGTGTGTTTGAAGTGGCGCTGCAGGGTACTAAAGATTGAAGACAGTGGTTAGGTTTGTAAAATACAGGTAGAAATAGATATGATTAAATTAAGATGTAGTAAGAAAGTTTTTGACTATTGTGACTGGCATTTTCCATGAACTAGCAATGCGTGAGCCTGTATTTCCACGTCATTGGTATACTGTTTTGTTATTAACTCCTTTCCTCTTTCTTTTTTTTTTTTAATTTTTTTTTGAATTTTTATTTATTTATGATAGTCACACAGAGAGAGAGAGAGAGGCAGAGACACAGGCAGAGAGAGAAGCAGGCTCCATGCACCGGGAGCCCGACGTGGGATTCGATCCCGGGTCTCCAGGATCGCGCCCCGGGCCAAAGGCAGGCGCCAAACCACTGCGCCACCCAGGGATCCCTCCTTTCCTCTTTCAATAAGCACTGAAAAATGGAAGTAGGACCTATTTACTTACACTTTTATAAAACCAGCTACACCAAATGCCTTACTTATCTGTAGTGACTGCAAAATGAATGTTTCTGCTGATGGTCTGACAAAAGTTTCAGCACAATGACATTCTGAGTAATCATTTTGCCTGTTGCCTTGACCTTTGAATACCCTATCTAGTTTAGTGCTATTTTTACCCTGATGGCTTTTTTTTTCAAATGTAGAAAAACAGGAGATTTGGATTAAGACCTTGATTTATAAAATAGAATGCCTTGGATTCCATATTTATTAATCATAAGCAGGAATATAGAATGTTTCCTGTGCTGGTTCTTTTATGCAACATTTTCAAATAAGTTGCCAAGAAAGATATAAAATATGAGTAAAAACTTATTCTGAGTTTTTCCTGGATTAAGTTTCCATTCCAACTAGAAAGTACTCAGTTTAAGCTGGTAAGCTACTAACTAAAACAATCTTGTCTCTACTGGCTCTGTTTTAAATGAATACAGATGAAGCTTTTTATTAAAGTTTGCAGACAGCCTGCAGATTAAGAATGCCTATGCCTTAAAGTCAGATATATACATATATCTATATAATGTAGATCTCTCTATATATCTACAAATTTCTTCAAGACATGGGGTCAGGACCAGCAGTTTCTAGACTCTGTTTCAGTTAGTAGAAAGGCAGATTCAAAGGTTTAGGATGAAAGTAACATGTGAATCTTGAGATTTTAGCCTCTTCTCAGTTAAAACGAAAACTTGGCAAAAGCAATTGCATCATAGCTAAAAAGAAAGATATTATGACCTCTTTTATTTAGAAAGTTAAGCTGTCTTGTGGATGCAGATACATGCCAATTTGATGCTGGTACATGCCAATTAGAAACTGGGCCAAGGCCACTAATATGTCACAGAAGCTGCCAGATGGTCATGAGAGTCCAATTACAGGCCAGGGTAACATTCAGCTCAGCTCATGCTCTTAAGGCAAAGGCCTGGATATGATTAGCAGATCTCTCAAGGCATACTGTAGTATCTTGTCACCAGTATCAAGCTTTTTGGGAATCAGAAGTAGCAACCTGTTCCATTTTGTTATTTAGCAAATGAGGGTGGTCTCTAACAGTATGTTCAATGTGCAGGGTTGTATTTATGTTAGGTTTACAAAGTCAATTAACTCTAACATGACATAAATTAAGTCTAGAAATAAGCTTGCTTCTAGGGATATGGACTGTTCAATTCTGGAAGAAAAAATAACGTAATTCGGGATCCCTGGGTGGCGCAGCAGTTTGGCGCCTGCCTTTGGCCCGGGGCGCGATCCTGGAGACCCGGGATCGAATCCCACGTCGGGCTCCCGGTGCATGGAGCCTGCTTCTCCATCTGCCTGTGTCTCTGCCTCTCTGTCTCTCTGTGACTATCGTAAATAAATAAAAATTAAAAAAAAAAAACCATAATTCTGAATCATGCATAGGAAAAAAGAAACATGCTTGGTGAACTGTTTTAGTTAAGACACACTGCATGAGGTTAAATGTTAGATTCAAATTCTTAGATCATCCTAAAAGAAATACAGTATACTGTTTGTTTTCTGAGAGCAGTTACCTTATGTGGTTGAGGTTGGGCACTAGTAAAGAAGGTAAGTTTATGGGGGCAATTTCCATAGAGGGGTGATGGCTTTATGAAGAAGTACAAATACATTTTGCTAAAAATTCTGAAATTTAGCCAGCTACCTTACAAATACTGATGCTTACCTGAAGAGAAACTAGGTAAAAAGATGCAGAAGACTCAGGCCAGACTAGCTAACCATTTCTGGATACCAATCTCAACAGTCTGTCTTTGACAGTTGATAAGTAATATTTCTTTACATGAAATCTAGTGATCTTTTAAAGTATAACTTAAATATGTAGTTTAAATATTTAGAAATATATATGAAATAAACTAATCTTTAAGTGAAGAATCTAAGGCATATTCTCAATTCCTTAAAGTGTCAAAAATTATACCCTGAACCATGAAATCAGTATTGAACAATTGTAGTGGAGAGATTTCAACAATATTTTGGAAAATGGAGAATGGTTGAAACTGGATGGAAGTGATTTAGCAGATAGGTAGAGCTAGCACCTAGGTTTCTGGAGAGGGGGAAGCTAACAGTAAATGACGTTGACCTATTGGACTCTGAAAGGGTTCAGTAGCTGGAGATACAAGATACTACAGATACAGAAGGGTTTAAAAGAAGAACATTGGTTGAAAGTTTATATTTAGAATGATTAGCCTCCTTCCCACTTCCCACCGGGCTATATATCTTCTGCCCAGGAAGTCAAGCAACTATCTGATTACTGCTTCCTCTCATCTTGCTCTTCCTGGCAGCAGACAGAAGTTTTAGTCTCTGAAGAGAACAAGAGGACCAAGAAATCTGGCACAGGGAAGATGGGACAAAGGTTGAGATTCCCTTCCTTTTCCTGTCCCTGTTTCAGAATGTCTTGAGCCAGGCTTATATATTATATGAAGGAGACTACTGAATTTTTTTTCTGGAAAAGTGAATGGACTAAGAAATATCACAAGAGAGTGACATTTGGGGGGCATATTAAATACAGCTTGCTATCCTACTACTCTACTATGAAGTTCACTAATCAACAAGCCTTACATATACAAAAAAAATTTCATCAGCTTTTTAGTGTCTCTCTTTTTAATATGAATAGACAGCTAAGTGTTCAACAGTGAGAGCAAATAAACAAAAAGATAAAAGATTCAAAACAATTATAATTAATATTCTCAGACAGAGAAGGGAAGAATTTCAGTCATGAAACAAAACAACAACAAAAAATAAAACAAATAAGAAAACTGGAATAAAACTGTAGGAGGAAAGCTTGAAGATAAAGGAAATCTCCCCAAAAGATGAAAAATGGCAAGAATATTAGATTGAGAATCAGCCTAAGAGATTCAACCTTCCAATTAAAGGTATAACAGAAAAAGAAGCCATATAAAACAGTGGGAAAGGACTGATCAAAGAAATAACACAAGAGAAGCTTCTCAGAACTGAAGGAAACTATCTACAATATGAAACTCTAAATTGAAAACCCATTATGTCTAAAATACAATGAATATGAAAAATATCCAAACTGAAGAGCATCATTGTGAAATTTCAGATCATGGACAAATATGACTAAAAATTTCCAAAAAGAGAAAGAGTAAGTTACAAAATACTAAGAGTCTGGAAAAAGAATTGTGTTGGACCTTGCAACAGCAATAAGGTATGCTAGGACTTAATGGAACAATGCTTCCAAAATTATGAGGAAAATTTATTTGAGAATTAGACTTTTATACCCAGCCAAACTATTGGTCAAGTTAAAAGTTAAATAAAGGTATTTTCAGGTATTTAAGGTCTCAAAAAATTGACTTCCTACCCACCGATACTAAAGGCTGTATTCTAGCAAAATAAAGGGCTAAACCAAGAAAGAGTAAGATATGGGATTCAGCAAATAAGGAAACTAATCCAGAAAAGTGTTGAAGGGGCAGTAAAGAGAAATCTCAATTGCTCAAGAGACCAAGAGAATAACCAATTCAGAGTGGAATAGGAGCATAGAGGCCTTCAGGAAAACAATGAATGATCTATTTGAGCATATGGAAAATATTATTCATGGACAAGTGGAAAAGATGTTGGAATATATGGAAACAATTAACAGTAGGAACACAGCAAGCTAGGCAAATGAAGAAATGAGGCAATTATTAATGCCATGAAAACAAAGAGTTGTGTAAGAAAGGAGGAATGATTATAGCATTCTCCCCCTCAGCACTGAACAGTAGTTCCGTGGTCATAATCGTGAGATAGTGACAACTGTTTTAACCAAAATGTGATACTCTGTTAGCAGGAGAATTAGCAGTCAGAGGGGGAATATGGGGTAGATGGAGAGCTGTGTCCTCATATGCTGTCTCAGGAAGTTAAGAGATCATGTCAGGAGCTGATAAATAAAAAAACAGCAGTATAAACTATATGTTAGCAAATATGAAAAACAGCTAAAAGCTGATGGTGGTTGCCTCTGAAGAAACCCCTAGGATAAGAGTAGGAAAGGTGATGTTATTTTTTTATGAAAAACTTTTAATGGTGTTTTATTATCACTTCGGTAAAAAAATTAAATTACCATATTACAACAAAAACAAATATGTTCATTGTAAAAAAAAATTAGAACTGGCTTTTTAGTTTCTTTTGAGTTTGGTCAAAAGTTATTTAGTATATACCCATCAAAATGTCTAAAATTAAAAGGCTTATAATTCCAAATATTTACAAGGATATAAAACAACCAAAACTCTTATACATGG